TGTGTGTATATATATATATATATATATATATAACGAAATGTTGGCATTAAAAATTATGATTGGGTTTTAGAATAATTGCTTTAAGGTAAGTGGTTCTTAGACTTTAATGCACATAGAGAATCATTTGGAGAGTTTTAAATGAACTAAAACTTTGTCTGGACCCCATCCCCAAAGATTTTTATTTCATTGCCCTCAGGTGATAGTGTTTTATAAGTTCCCTACATGACTTGAATGTGCAGCCATGAGGAAAACTGAAGGGGAGGATAGGGTTTTATTTGTAGTTTTGTTTAAGTGGTTGGAACATTTGAAACTAATCTGTCTTTGTTTTATCCCAGGGTCTCTATGGCAGTGTTATTGTGGCAGGAGGAAACACATTAATCCAGAGCTTTACTGACAGGTTGAATAGAGAACTGTCTCAGAAAACTCCCCCAGTAAGTTCCTTTGTTTTTAGTGGTATTCTTCAGTCATGTACCCTCACTGCTGGTGTCATTTTATAGTAAGGTTTGTTTTCCAGTAGATTGATGATATTTTGTGTCGCCTGTACTGTAGTACTTACATAAAGTTAATATCCCTCATTAATCAAGATTTTCCCAGATGTGACATTTATTAGTTACTCTTGTTCTCGTTGAATCTCATTTTATTTACTGATTTCATACTTAAGTACCTTTATTCTTCTAGGCACTAGGGGTATAAAATGTAGTCCCTGCCCACTAGGGGCTCAGTCTGCTAGGATGAGTAGACATGCAAAACATAAAGACAACAGTGTGCTAAGTGGTCCAGTATGCCATGGAACATGTAGGGGCAAGCATTCAACTCCCTAGGAGTATCAGAGGAAAGCCTCATAAAGCAGCTTTTGAATTAGTAGGAAAGAACAGCTAGGTGGAAATAATACCATGTGCAAAATACGAAGAGAAGATGGCATATTCTATTATTTCATAGTAGTTGGCTATGGTCTGTGCAGAAGTGGGGAGAGCACATGGCTGGGAAGATGGTGTTTTAGTTTTAGAGGCTCCTTTAAGAGTACCAAACACTGGGTGGTTTAAAACAACAGAAATGTATTACTGTCTCTAAGTTCAGGAAGCTAAGAGTCTGAAATCAACATGTTAGCAGGGCTGTGTTTTCTCTGAAGCCTGCAGAAGAGAATCCTTCCTTCTGTCTTCTACCACCTGATGGTTTGCCAGCAATCCTTGGCATTTCTTAGATTATTCTTACAATAACCTGTCGTCTTCTTATAAGTACTCCAGACATTCTGGATTAAGAGCCTATTCTGCTCCAGTATGGCCTCACCTTAATTTCTATCTTAATTACATCTGCAAAGACCCTATTTCTAAAATAGGTCACATTCACAGGTATCAGGAATTATAACTTCAACATACCTCCTTGGGGGACACAGTTCAACCCACACAGATGGGTACAAGTTCACGTCCCTTATTAATAGCAAACTTACAGGATAAAACTTAGCAGAAAACTAGAGGGCTCCTAAGTTTGCTTTAAAAAGATCACTGTGTGCGTTCTGATAACTTTTAAAAGGATGGGAACCTGGTTTGGGGAGAAGATAGTTTACATGGTACATTGATAATGGTAGCAGCCATAATCTTTAGATTTTATCAAGTAGGTTTTAGTAAGGTATTCTGCACCTAATTACATTTTTAAAAACTTACTGGGGGTTATGTAGGTCCCACCATTATCCAATTTGTATATTTGATGGTCTTTTGGTTTCTCATGTAAAGGAATGTTTCACATATGGTACATTTTTATAATTCAGTGTTATTTAAATATTGATAAAGGTGCAAGATTGGCACCTGCTTTGTATTTACTACATTCTTGGAGATACAGCCTGATCTGGAATATACCTTAATTATAGTACCAATATTAGATTTCATACAAAGTCTTGTAATAATGAACATAGACATGGGCTGTCCAAGGTCTGGCAAGACCAGTTAGATACTAGCTTTCCTTCGGGAACAACTAAAAATCTGTAAAATAACAGGAAAAAAATTCCATTGGAGTAGTTATCAACGAGCTCCTCACCTACAAAAACATATTCATCCTGCCTGCTCCTAGCACCTCCTCCCACCATACCGCATGCTCTGCCACTCACCCCTGCCACACATTTACTTTACTGTGAGAGAGACTCAAACTATATGTTCATTTAGAGAGTAATTGGAAAGTATCAACAATTTGAGAATGCTCCAGAAGCAAAGCACAGGACGTGGGTGGGGAGTGGGGAGGAAGTTGTTGATAGAAGTTAAGGATGCCACAGAGCCATAAACCATACTTATCTAGAGAGTGTTGAGTTCAAAACAAACACTAATTTGGAAAGAAAGCAGTAGGAATAAAAAAGTCTGATGTTGGCAATTTTACTTGGAAGTGGGACAGGGAGTGGGGCATAGGGAGTGAACTAAGGGATTAGGATAACATATAATGCCTAAAAAAGTACTAGTTAGAAAGCTAAGGAGGACTACAAAAAAGGTGGCATGTTGGGATAATAATTGTACTTCGTGTTAGAAGAAATGAAATAATATATGAAGAAGCATTTAGCATAGTACCTGATTTGTACTAAGCATTAATTATCCTGTTCTAGGATATAAATTATAAATGCTTTGCTCTTTAGTATGTGGTTTTCTAAGGCTTATATATCTTATTAAGTATTGCACATTAAAAGCTTAAATCAAAGTACTTTAAAAAACTTTGTATATAGTAGTTCAACATACGCCTGCTAGCCTACTTATTGCAAAATAATCATGTATGATGTGTTTGGATCAGAGTCATTAAAAAGTCATCAAAATTGAATTTCCTAAGTTGAGTCACCTGTTTTATTTGTACTAATACTTATTCTTCCCTTTTTGTTTTAGAGTATGCGGTTGAAACTGATTGCAAATAATACAACAGTAGAACGGAGGTTTAGTTCATGGATTGGTGGCTCCATTCTAGCTTCTTTGGTTAGTAGACAAACATCTCTACAGTTGATAGTAAATTTTTCCTTTTTTTATTAAAGTATCATATACAGTCTTATGAAGGTTTCACATGAGCAACATTCTGGTTTCAATATTCACCCATATTATCAAGTCTCCCCCCTACTCCACTATAGTCACTGTCCATCACTGTAGTAAGATGCTGTAGAGTCATTATTTGTCTTCTCTGTGCTGTACTGCCTTACCCGTGACCTACTTATATTGTAATAGTAAATTATAGTGCTTCCTAATCCCCTTCTCCCTCCCTCCCCACCCACCCTCCCCAACCCATTTCCTTTGGTAACCACTAGTCCCTTCTTGGAGTCTGTGGGTCTGTTGCTGTTTTGTTCCTTCAGTTTTGCTTTGTTATTATTATACTCCACAAATGAGTGAAATTATTTGATACTTGTCTTTCTCTGCCTGGCTTATTTCACTGAGCAAAATACCCTCTAGCTCCATCCATGTTGTTGCAAATGATAGGATTTATTTCCTTCTTATGGCTGAATAATACTCCATTGTGTATATATATATACCACATCTTTATCCATTCATCTACAGATGGACACTTAGGTTGCTTCCATATCTTGGCTATTGTAAATAGTGCTGTGGTAAACATAGGGTTGCATATGTTTTTTTGAATCAGGGATCTTGTTTTCTTTGGGTAAATTCCTAGGAGTGGAATTCCTGGGTCAAATGGTATTTCTATTTTTAGTTTTTTGAGCAATCTCCATATTGCTTTCGACTATGGTGGAACTAATTTACATTCCCACAAACAGTGTAGGAGGATTCCCCTTTCTCTGCATCCTCACCAAGCATTTGTTGTTTCTTGTCTGTTGGATGTTGGCCTTCCTAAATGGTGTGAGATAATCTCTCATTGTGCTTATAATGTGAATTTCCCTGATAATTAGTGATGTGGAGCATCTTTTCATGTGCCTGTTGGCCATCTGAATTTCTTCTTTGGAGAAGTGTCTGTTCAGGGCCTCTGCCCATTTATTAATTGGGTTATTTATCTTTGGGGTGTTGAGGCTTTATATATTTTGGATGTTAACCCCTTATTGGATAAGTCATTTACAAATATATTATCCTATATTGTAGGCTGCCTTTTTTGTTCTGCTGTTGGTGTCCTTTGCTATACACAAGCTTTTTAGTTTGATGTAGTCCCATTTGTTCAGGAAAAGTTGCTCATGTTTATGTCCAAGAGATTTTTGCCTGTGTTTTCTTCTAAGAGTTTTATGGTTTCATGACATACATTGAGGTCTTTGATCCATTTTGAGTTTATTCTGTGTGTGTGGAGTTATAAAATAATCTAGTTTCATTCTCTTGCATGCAGCTGTCCAGTTTTACCAACACCAGTTGTTGAAGAGGCTGCCATTTCCCCATTGTATTTCCATGGCTCCTTTATTGTGTATTGATTGACCATATATGTGTAGGTTTATATCTGGGCTCTCTATTCTGTTTCATGATCTATGGGTCTGTTTTTGTGCCAGGACCAAATTGTTTTGATTACTGTGGCTTTGTAGTACAGTTTGAAGCCAGGGAATGTAATACCCCCAGCTTTGTTCTCCCCAGCTTTGTTCTCCCTTTTCAGGATTGCTTTGGCTATTCAGGGTCTTTTGTAGTTCCATATGAATTTTAGAACTATTTGTTCTAGTTTGTTGAAGAATGCTGTTCATATTTTGATAGGGATTGCATTAAATCTGTAGATTGCTTTAGGCAGGATGGCCATTTTGACAATATAAATATTAATTTTTCCTATCCATGAGCATGGGATTTCCATTTATTGGTGTCTTCTTTAGTTTCTCTAATGAGTGTCTTGTAGTTTTCAGGGTATAGGTCTTGGTTAGGCTTATTCATAGGAATTTTATTATTTTTGATGCAATTGTAAATCAAGTTGTTTTCCTGATTTCTCTTTCTGCTAGTTCATCATTAATATATAGGAATGCAACAGATTTATGTGTATTAATTTTGTATCCTGCAACTTTGCTGAAATCAGTTATTCTAGTAGTTTTGGGGTGGATTGTTTAGGTTTTTTATGCATAATATTATGTCATCTGCAAACAGTAACAGTTTGACTTGTTCCTTACCAGTCTGGATGCCTTTTCTTTCTTTGTGTTGTCTGATTGCCACAGCTAGGACCTCCAGTATTATGTTGAATAAAAGTGGTGAGAATATACATCCTTGTCTTGTTCCCAATCTTAGAGGAGCAGCTTTCAACTTTTTGCTTTTAAGTATGATGTTGGCTGTGGGTTTGTCATATATGGCTTTTATTATGTTGGGGTGCATACCCTCTATACCCATTTTGTTGAGCGTTTTTATCATGAACGGATATTGAATTTCGTCAAATGCTTTTCAGCATCTATGGAGATGATCCTGTGATTTTTATCCTTTTTGTTGATGTGTGTTCTATGATGTTGATGGATTTTTGAATTTTGTACCATCCTTGCATTTGTGGAATAAATCCTACTTGATCATGATGGATGATCTTCTTGATGTGTTTTTTAATTCAATATGCTAATATTTTGTTGAGTATTTTTGCATCTATATTCATCAGGGATTTTTGTCTGTAATTTTCTTTTTTCGTGGTGTCTTTGCCTGGTGTCCATTTTAGAGTGATGCTGGCCTCACAGAATGAGTTTAGAAGTATTCCCTCTTCTATTTTTTGGAAAACTTTTAAGGAGGATGGGTATTAGGTCTTCACTAAATGTTTGATGAAATTTAGCGGTGAAGTCATCTGGTCCAGGGATTTTTTTTTTTTTTTTTTTTTTGGAGAGCAAGGTACAGGCTTTTATTTAGAAATAAAGTGAGAGAATAGAGCTCCTGGCTCACACCAGGAGGGGGCAAGAGAGCCCGTAGTGGTGTGTTGTCTAGGGGGTTTTATAGGCAGTTGAGGATTTTTGGAGAACATGAAAAAAACTTAGGGGTGTGTGGACTTGCATCATCTGCCCTGTTCTCAAGGTGGGGTGGTCATACCCTAGTCTGATTGCTAGGGCTGACAGCGGAGTCACGGGTTATGCTGATACCCTTGCAGAACACTCAAGCATTCCAGGCCAAGTTGCTTCTGGCCTTTTGACCTTTAACTGATCTCACTGAAGATGTCTATATTCTTAGGTATTCCCTAGAGAATTAGTGTGACCTTGACTTTGCATAATGCTTAACAGAGTTTCAATGGGGACTTCTTTGCCCATTGTTACATTGCTTTGACTAAATATTCCACCCTGCTTTTCCCCCGGAGGCCCTCACCCTACTCTGACTACACCCATCATTCCTGTCTCATTACCCCCTCTACAGATGGAGACCCTATCTGCTGCTAGGGAAAGGGGGCAATGACTGCTCTGGCTGCTTCATGCTGAGAAGGGGCGTAGTAAAGGGTGGGGTTAGGTTTCCTTCAGTGGTCATTCGAGAGGGCTCGGAAGATGGGCACTTCTATTTCAGGTTCCATTTCTATTATTATTTGCAGTTTTGTGGCTTAGTTTATGCCACTGCCTGAGATTTAGCCAGTCACCCACTGTAACAGATCTGATCTCTGAAGTTATCCCAGACGAGCCCCTGATGATGCTGCTGGGGTTCTTGTTCATGAAGCCGAAGAACGAGTTTCACAAACACTCAAGGTAGGAGAGCAAGGTACAGGCTTTTATTTAGAAATAAAGTGAGAGAATAGAGCTCCTGGCTCACACCAGGAGGGGAAAAAAGAGCCCTGGTCCAGGGATTTTTATTAGGTAGTTTTTTGATTACTAGTTCAATTTCATTGCTGGTAATTGATCTGTTCAGATTTTCTGTGTCTTTCTGGGTCAGCCTTGGGAGGTTGTATTTTTCTAGAAATTTGTCCATTCTTCTAGTTTATCCAGCTTGTTGGCATATAATTTTTCACAGTATTCCCTAATAATTCTTTGTATTGCCGTGGTTCTGTAGTGATTTTTCCTTTCTAATTTCTGATTTTGTTTATGTGTGAATACTCTTTTTTCTTGATAACTCTGGCTAGGGGTTTATCTAGTGTTTATTTTCTTAAAGAACCATCTCCTGATTTCATTGATTCTTTCTATTATTTTATTCTTTTCAATTTTATTTATTTCTGCTCTGATTTTTAATATGTCTGTCCTACTGACTTTGGGCCTCCTTTGTTATTCTTTTTCTAGTTTCATTAATTGTGAGTTTAGACTGTTCATATGGGATAGTTTTTGTTTGTTGAGCTAAGCCTATATTATTATATACTTTCCTCTTAGAACTGCCTTTGCTGTATCTCAGATTTTGGACATTTGAGTTGTTCTCATTTGTCTCCATATATTGCTTGATCTCTATTTTAATTTGGTCATTGATCCATTGATTATTTAGGAGCAAGTTGTTAAGCCTCCATGAATTTGTGGGCTTCTTTGTTTTCTTTGCATAATTTATTTCTACTTTCATATCTTTGTGGTCTGAGAAGCTGGTTGGCACAATTTCAAACTTTCTGAATTTACTGAGGCTCTTTTGTGGCCTGGTATGTGATCTAATCTGGAAAACATTCCATTTACACTTGAGAAAAATGTGTATCCTGCTGTTTTTTGGATGGAGTGTTCTGTAGGTGTCAGTTAGGTCCATCTGTTCTAATGTGTTATTCAGTGCCTATGTCTCCTTCCTTATTTTGTCTGGTTGATCTGTCCTTTGGTGTGAGTGGTGTGTGGAAATCTCCCAAAATGAATGTTCATTCTATTTCCCCCTTTAATTCTTTTAGTACTTGTTTTCCATATTTAGGTGCTCCTGTATTGAGTACATAGATATTTATAACGGTTATATCCTCTTGTTGGACTGACCCCTTTTTCATTATGTAATGTCCTTGTCTTGTTTCTTGTTACTTTCTTTGTTTTGAAGTCTATTTTGTCTGATATAAGTACTGCAACTCCTTTTTTTCTCTATTATTTGCGTGTAATCTCTTTTTCTATCTCTTTACCTTTTATTCTGTGTCTTTGGGTTTGATGTGAGTCTCTTGTAGGTAGCATAAAGATGGGTCTTGTTTATTATCCTTTCTGCCACTCTGTATCTTTTGATTGGTGTTTTCAGTCCATTTACATTTAGGGTGATTATCAACAGATATGTACTTAGTGCCATTGTAGGTTTTAGATTTGTGGTTATCAAAGGTTCAAGGGCATCTTCCTATCTCAGTCTATCTTTTTTTTTTTTTGGTATCATAAATGTACAATTACATGAGCAACATTACGGTTACTAGACTCCCCCCATTATCAAGTCCCCACCACATACCCCATTACAGTCACTGTCCATCAGCATAGTAAGATGCTATAGAATAACTACTTGTCTTCTCTGTGTTGTACAGCCTTCCCCATGCCGACCCCCCTACATTATGTGTGCTAATTGTAATGCCCACCTTTTCCCCCTTATCCCTCCCTTCCCACCCATCCTCCCTAATCCCTTTCCCTTTGGTAACTGTTAGTCCATTCTTGGGTTCTGTGAGTCTGCTGCAGTTTTGTTCCTTCAGTTTTTTCTTTGTTCTTATGTTCCACAGATGAGTGAAATCATTTGGTACTTGTCTTTCTCTGCCTGGCTTATTTCACTGAGCATAATACCCTCTAGCTCCATCCCTGTTGTTGCAAATGGTAGCATTTGTTTTCTTCTAATGGCTGAATAATACTCCATTGTGCATATGTACCACATCTTCTTTATCCATTCATCTACTGATGGACATTTAGGTTGCTTCCATTTCTTGGCTATTGCAAATAGTGCTGCAATAAACATAGGGGTGCATATTTCTTTTTCATACTGGGCTGCTGCATTCTTAGGGTAAATTCCTAGAGGTGGAATTTCTGGGTCAAATGGTATGTCTATTTTGAGTTTTTTGAGGAACCTCCATATTGCTTTCCACAATGGTTGAACTAGCTTACATTCCCACCAGCAGTGTAGGAGGGTTCCCCTTTCTCCACATCCTCACCAACATTTGTTGTTGTTTGTTTTGTCTTTTGGATGGTGGCTATCCTAACTGGTGTGAGGTGATATCTCATTGTGGTTTTAATTTGCATTTCTTTGATGATTAGCAATGTGGAGCATCTTTTTATGTGCCTGTTGCCCATCTGAATTTCTTCTTTGGAGAAGTGTCTGTTCACCTCTTCTGACCATTTTTTAATTGGGTTATTTACTTTTTTGTTTAGGTGTGTGAGCTCTTTAAATATTTTGGATGTCAACCCTTTATCGCATATGTCATTTATGAATATATTCTCTGATAGCATAGAATGCCTTTTTGTTCTATTGATGGTGTCCTTTGCTGTACAGAAGCTTTTCAGCTTGATATAGTCCCACTTGTTCATTTTTGCTTCCTGCAGTCTACCTTAACTTGCTTATTATGCTATTTCAAACACAGTCTTAAGGTTCTATTTTTTTTCTCCCCTCCTTCTTCCTCCACTCTTTATATATTAGGTGTCATCCCTTGACTAACTATCTGGATAGTTGATTTAATTTTGTATTTGCTTAGTAATTAATTCATCTACTCCTATACTGTGGTTTTATTTTCTTTGGTGACAGCTATTTAGCTTTAGGAGCACGTCCATCTAGAGCAGTCCCTTTAAGATATACTGTAGAGATGGTTTGGGGGTGATAAATTCCCTCAACTTTCACGTATCTGGAAATCGTTTAATCCCTTCTTCAAATTTAAAGCATTATCTTGCCGGCTAGAGTATTCTTGGTTCAACGCCCTTCTGCTTCATTGCATGAGCATGTTTAACATTTTTATCAAGAAGATTGATGATTTCATTTTCACTGGGCCCTCTTTTTGGCATTCTTTTCCGGCAGTTTTGTTTGGACTAAATTCTTCTGCCATTTCATTTTTTTTTACTGTTTTCTATGGAATAACAACTTTGTGTAGGCAGTGCCCTCTAGTTTCCAGAAGCTCTACTCTCTGGAGCTGCCTAGCACCTGAAGCAGTAGCAAGGGCCGTGGGTGAGCAGAACTGGCACATACTGGGAGGAAAGAGCTCGGATGGGAGCGTTTCCTGCCTTCCCAGCTGTATTGCCTGTGTCAACTGCCAGGTCCAGTAGGCTAAGCATGCAGGAAGGAGCCTCTTGTTACTCCCCTGTAGCTGCCATAGGCGGGGCCACCCTCTGGCTGGCCTGGCCTGATGGTAGGGGCAGCAGGTGAATGGGACCAGTGTTTGCCAGGAGGAAGGAGCAGCAGGTTGCTTACCACAGTGGGGGTCCTCAGGGCTGCATTTACAGCCATTAGAATGGTGCATCTGAACCTCCTGAGAGTTTCCAACCTGCTGGGCTGTGTGTGTCTGGATGATTTTGTCCATCTGCCCCTTTTGTGCAGTGAGCTCTGTACCTTTGCCCCCTTAGCACCCCTCTTGCTTCTGGGAAGTCAGAATGCCCACATTTCTTTTGTCACAGAGCAGCCAATTCTCTGTCCCTGTTCTCCACAAACAGCTGGAATCTCCAAGTATTCCACCCATCTTTGCTTTACAACTCCACTAATCTCCAGAGCACCATGTAATGTGAGTTTGTGCTCCCAGAGCAGATCTCCAGGGCTGGGTATTCAGCAGTCCTGGGCTTCAACTCCCTCCCCACTCCATTTCTCTTCCTCTCACCTGTGGGCTGGGTTGGTGGAGGGCTTCAGTCCCACCTGATCATGGCTTTGCTATTTTACCCTTTCTTGTGAGTTCTCTTTTCTCCAGATGTAGGCAGCCTGTTCTGCAGTCTTTGGGTTGCTTTTTCAGGGTTAGTTGTATTTGCTGTAGTTTCGTGTTTTATGTGATTTTGGGAGGTTTCTGCCTCACTTCTCACACTGTTCTTCTCCCTTATATTTAATTTTTATAAAGACTGATTTATTGAATGATTTAACTTAAATTTACCCCTGAAAATATTAAATTTAGTAAATAAAAAAAAAGCTAAAAATTCCAGTTTATTTTTACATTTTTCAACTGCCAAATGAGTAAAGGAACCAATACCAGTTTTACATGTTCTAGCATAATAAAATGCTTCATTAATAACAGTGGATTATTTGTCAGCCTCAGCCTCATTTCCCCTCTCAGAGGTGGGAATCTGTTGATTTATTCATGGATCTTCTTATAATACTCCCATTAGCACTGGTCAGGTCTTACCTGCAGCACATTTAAAATTAAATCATTCTGGGTTCTGGTTGCTCCCTGACCTATTCGTGAGGTCAAGGTCTGGCTTGGTTCTTGGAGCAAATGGTGAAGTCATGGTGCTGGGTTTGGCTTGTTGCTTTAGACTGGTGTCTACCTTGAATCAAGAGAAAAAGTCCTTGTACTTAGCTGCACCCTGGACTGGGAGAATTTCCTATTCACCTCAGAGAAGCCAAAGTAAATGTCATGAAGTACTTAGGCTAAACATTTTAAGCTAGTACATGTGTATAATTCCATTTATATATTTCTTGTATATGTTCTATTTCCTGTCTTTTAATAGATCTTAGATTAAAGCTGGTAACCCAGTATGAATCCACCTGAATAGAGGTTAATCACAGGGAATGGATTTCTCCTGCTTACGTGTCTTACTATTAATGTAGTGCAGGTTCCTTCCTCCTTTCACCTTCTATGTTTATTTATTTGGTATAATACTTGTGTACTGTCGTGTGTACCTGCAAATCTTTATCCTAGTTCTGATGAACACTTTTGAGTTCTAAATGTTACCATTTATCAAGTGGTAGGACATCTCTTGAATGCTGTGCTAGGATCAAGCCTTCTAACAATTTCTATTGTTGCACCAGTTTCTACTATTCTGTTTGGCACCAAACTACCTAAACCCTCCTCCATCTTCCTTTCACAGCAATTTCCTAGATCCTCATAACAGTGTAACAGGTGGTAGAGAGAAATTTACTGTTCTTTCTACCCTTGGGCAAGACTAAATTCATCTTTGGGTGTTCCAGAGGAGGGCAGAAGTAAGGGAGTAGTGGAGTTCTATTCTGGGAGAGGGGTTTAGGGTTCTTCAAATATTAGCAGTTGTGAAAATAAGGCTATTATAAGAAAAATTATTTCCTGATAAAAAGGCACAATTATATAATTTTTCTTCCCATTTCATAGGGCACCTTTCAACAGATGTGGATTTCCAAACAAGAATATGAAGAAGGAGGGAAGCAGTGTGTAGAAAGGAAATGTCCTTGAAGAGTTCCCAAACCTCCACCTTCCTGTGTCACCCTACGTTTCATAGCTTTAGTAAACTCAGGAAAAGAATGACCATCTTTTGTAGAATGTTTATACATTTTTGCATATTTCAATTTCCACTTAAATTTTTTAAGGTTTTAACTGGCTCTATAAATTAAAATAAGTTTGTGCTTTCCTTGAAATGCACTTATTCTTATTATAAGCATTTTATAATTTTGTATAAATGTCTATTTTCTCTAAATATTTTGCTTTCAGTAAAATGCTTTCCAACTCTTTTAGTATATTAATTACCAGTGGATTGGTAGAATTGCTTTTTATAGATAGTAAAACTTATTGCCTATGCTTTTTTACCTTAGGCTTGCAAAATTAAATAAAATCTACTAGCCATTCCAAAAATATTTTTTTGGACTGTTATGTGTTGTGACTTGCTACTTTAAGTACTAAATGTATTATTATTTTGAGTGGAAGTACTTACTGTTTATTAACAATAATATCCATACCCCTTCATATCCTGTTAACAGTAGTAGTAAAAATGTTACCTGAATTCCAGAAGCTACCTTACTGCCTTTGCTATAGCAGTTGACTTCACTTTTCCACTCTAATATATAGGTGATAGTGTGCTTAGATGTCAGAATTTATAAAATGGAAATTTAATCCGAACTTTATGCCTAATTTTTAAAATAATTTGGCAGAAGCATGACCACTTCCAGAATTAGCATGCCATATTAACACTTAAAGACAGTTGGTAGTCATTTGCTAAAAAACAATTTCTTTATAACCACTTTATATTTACTTTTGTATACACTCTTATCCAAGAAAAACAAAATGGTAAATTAAGAATTCAGACATCTGAGACAAGACTTGACTTCTGGGCTTGAGAAAGATGTGGAAACTTTTCCTGAAGATATTTTTCTTTCTTTTTTTCTAAACTTTTCTTCCTTGCTTCGATGCAGGCTTTTTTCTCACATCTCAGTCTAGAATAATAAAAGGGTAACAGCAATTTATACAAAAATCCCCTGTCATTCAGTACTATNTTTTTTGAGCCTGTAACAAACTGGGCTATGTGTCTCCCTTAATTTAAGAAACACTAATTTTATTGAGCATATTAGATACTTATACATCCTGAGACTTTTAGGAATTCCCTAACTTCAGATGGCATTCTGTCTACTTTATCACTTCCCCTGCAGCAGAGAGAATGAAGCCATGCTAAGACATGATGCTTAGGTGCTAGTTAAGACTCACGATTCTCTGAGTTTGTTTTCCCAGCAAGCATCCCAGGGAATGAGGTATTTGTGCCTCAGCTAAATTATGTTAACGTCTAGGTTCACTTAAAAATCATCAAAATTGCAAATGATAAATTATGGATGCTAAGCCTCATATTGTATTGAAGTTGGTATTTACAGGATATTTTTATTAATCTGGGGAAAACTTTATGAGGAAGATCGCAAACATCTGAAGAGTTACATTTGGATAAGGACAAAGATATGTATACAAAGAAAAAACAAATTGCTTTAAGTAAGTATGAAGATTAAATGTTGAAATCAGACTACCCATTCTATTTGTCAATTGTTGCTCCAACTATATTCTGGCCATTTACAAAAAATAAATCCATATAAAAGAATAAAGGTTTGGCATTCATATTCAAAAGATTATTATGCACTCTCTGAAAGTAAAGCTAAAGCCAAAAAGGTAGTTTCAAATTAAAACATGAATAAGGCATATAAAAGTGACATTGGATTCATAAATTATCATGTATTATTTAAAAAGTTGTATTTATAACTTCACATTATGTGACTGGACAAAAGAATCAAATGGCATTAGGCTTAGAGGAAAAAACAGCTAGTAGAGTTAGATTTGTTCTGTTCAGCGTGTGATCTGGGCCTTAAGATGTGAGTAGGAGAGATTTCAAAGCTATAGGAACAGGAACAGCAAAAGAAGGGAGAATGAGCAAAATATGTTTTGGAAACAAGGAGGGATAGTTTGACTTTGATGAAGGCTAAATAGCTAAGATTCAATTGTGAAAACTGGGTGGGAAGGTTTGGATTCTATTCTGTGGACAATATGTTTTTGAACAGCACTAATGTGATTAAAAAGGTTTGAGGAAGAATTGGCCAAGAAGCAATACTGGAATGGACTGGAATAAAATGATGTTCAATAATCCAATTTGAAGGAACACACTAGGGCAGAGATAGTGGGGGTTGAAGGACAGATCCCAGAGACATTTCTCAGGAAGAAATTCTGTAAATATTTTGCTTTCAGTAAAATGCTTTCCAACTCTTAGTATATTAATTACTACTGGATTGGTAGAATTGACTTTTATTTATAGTAAAACTATCAGTCAAGGTTGACTGAATCTATTATACAGAAAGAAGTTCTGGACCCAATTCTTCAGTGGGGTAGGGTGCTGGTGGGTCTCACACCACCACCAAGTCATTCTCAGACAGCAGCAAGATGTCTAAGAACTCAACTCAGTACTGATACATACTACCTGGAGGTAGCACCAGACGATCCTCTGTGCTTCTGACCAACTTGCTACAGATAGGAAGTTCCCATGACCCCTTCTTTGGACTTCACCCACCATTCACATGTCCAGGTGGTTATGGTTACCTGTACTTCTGACACACTGGCTATAAATCAGAGGTTCTCATGACCCCTTCCATGGGTTTGATTAATGTTCTAAGCAGCTCACAGAACTCAGAAAACCCACTAACTCACTAGATGACTGGTTTACTGTAAAAGATGTAAGTCAGGTACAGGCAGATGGAAGCAATCCATAGTGCAAGGTAAAGAAAGGAAAGGATGCAGAGCTTCCCAGCTTTAAGGTGGCCACTCTCCTCAAAACTCCACGTGTTCACCAAACCAGAAGCTCTAACCCTTTTTTTGGGGGGTTTTACGTACCTTCATTTCACAGGCAAGACTGCTTAAATCATTGGCTGCTGGCAGTTGATTTGATTTCGGGAATGGGACTGAAAATTTCCAGTCTAATCAAGACTGGCTCCCCTGGCAACAAGCCTCCATCCTAACACACTTCCCAAGTTTTCATTAACAACAAAAGACCTTTGTAGGGGGCTTTCTCTCCTAGGAAATCCCAAGGTTTTTTAGAGCTCTGTGCCAAGAACTGGGCCAAAGATCAAATACACATTTCTTATATAAATTACAACATAACAGATACAAAACTGGAAATGAGAGGTAACTGGTTTGTTGGAGAAGATGAAACACATAAACTGTGATTCTAAAGTATACCAAAACATCTTAAAGCTTAGCTTAAAGATATAGTTCATTCCTGTTTAAGTTGTTTTTAAAAACTTTTTTTCTGGTATGGAAACAAGTATTGTGGGGGTGGGGATCAGTTATTAAAGATCTCTTGCCAAAAGTAGGCTGTTTTATCTAAGGCAGTTGTTAAAAGCTGTGCTATTTGTGCTGCCTCTATTTATTTCCCCTTTAGATTTCTAGTTGCTTCCCTGCCTTGAATTATGTTCTCTGGCACCTTTTAGCCAGGAACCCCACAATTTCCCACTTGGTGTCTTTCTGCAGCCATAAACATGGAAGCTGAGTGGCACCCTTGCCCAGGAAACCACAAACTTGCAGTTCTTTTCTATTCCAATTGCAGTTTGGGGATGAAATTCTTTGGTTTCTGTTTTTGGATATGGACTCAGTGTCTTAAAATAGCTGTTTCTCAAAATCTTATTTCATTTTTATAATTATTAGCTGGGGGCCTCATGGGACCACTTCACTCCTTTACTGTAACAGAAGCCCTGGTTCTTCCTATTCAATAATAAACTTGATGCAGAAAAATTGTGCTGCAGAAAGTATTTGGAAATCACCATTCTGCAGGATAATATGAACTCAGATCTAATTCAACAGGCTTCTCTCCTCACCCTAGCCACTTTTTTTTTGCTTTTTTTAATTAAGGTATTATTAATATACAGTCTTATGAAGGTTTCACATGAAAAAACAATGAGGTTACTACATTTACCCATATTATCAAGTCCCCACCCATATCCCAATGCAGTCACTGTCCATCAGTGTAGTCAGATGCCACAGAGTCACTGTTTGCCTTCCATATACCCTAGCCACTTTTCATTTCATCAACCTGGCAATAACATGAGCTTACATTTTATGCAATTGAAGTACTTAGATTTTCCCTCTAACATTACAGAAGGATTTAACCATCTACTAACATACAGACTGATGAACAGAAAGGCAATAAAACTTTTGAAAGGATATACAAGAGAATGTTAACAGGTACTTCTGATGGTGATATTACATAAAACTAATTTCTGTTTTTACCTGATTTTTCTATTTTTTTCGCACAAAGAACATGTATTACTTATGTAAAAATATAACCCATGTCATCTGATATAAAGATATGTCTCACCATTCAGGGTACTTGTGCTCACCTGACAAAACGTTCCACATAGGGCATTGCAAAGAATCGTTTCCTATTATACCTTTTATTTAGGTACCAAGGTATAGGCCACTGCTTGAATCTATGCCTGCAAAGAGAGTAAAAAAGTATCACCTTACAGAAAGCATTTTCACTTTTTACAGTCTTAGCTTTCTTTGGACTAAACATATTTTAAATGAGATGTAATCAACCTGAAGATTTTTAAATTTTGTTTTAAATTACAAACTTAAGAGAACTAAGCACAGATTATATACATGACATGTATGAACCCACTGCAAAAGTGCAGATGTTAATATTCTGCAATGTTTCCTTCAGATCACTCTTAAATGTGTATATATATATATAATTTGATATATATGTAATTTGATATTACATGTATATGTATGTTTTGTTTTTCAAATTAAATAAATTGCACCAACCAATATAGATTATCTGTGTTTACAGCAACATAATTAAAACTAAAAAATGTTGAGTGGGGGGGGGAAGAAAATTGTGAATTCATACTATAACATTTATTTGAAAATATTTCAATTTAAAAGGTAACAGTAAGCATCACTGCTGCTGACATTAGTGGCGCCCATGCCTCAGCCTGCACTGTGCTACATGGGGGGCGTGGGGAGTTGGGCCTGTGTCCGCCAGCTCCGGGATTCCTCAGGTATTAGGGATTCATTCATTCATCCACTCACCACTTACAGAATGCCGTCTATGTGACAGAACAATACTAGAGGCTTGGACTATAGCATGGAACAAAATATACTTTCTGCTATCATGGTGCTTGTATTGTCATGGATCAGTTAATTAGTGAGTGTGGAGAGAAGCCAAGATGGTGGTGTGAGTAGGGCAGCAGAAATCTCCTCCGGAAACCATATATATTTTTGAAAATACAACAAATACAACTATTCCTATAAGAGAGACCAGAGGATACAGTACAACAGCCAGGCTACATTTACATCTGCGAGAACTCAGTATCTTACAAAGGGGGTAAGATACAAGCCGTGGCCCAGTGGGACCCAAGCGCTTCCCTGACCCTAGCTCCCTGGGGGGGAGAAAGGAGTCAGAGCAGGGAGGAAGTGGAAGAACAGGACTGCTAAATAACCAGCTCTGATGGTCTGCATCAGGAGGGCAGACACACACTGCATGGTGTGCTGGATATCAGAGAAACGGAAAAGTAAAATCTGCGAGCAGGTGCCTGGAGCCAGCTCCCCTGGGACAACAGAAAAGCGAGTGCTTTTTGAAAGTCTTAAAGGGACAGGAGCCGCACAACTGGATGGAAGTGTCCCAGCACACTCAGCCCAGCAGCTGGGAATCCCAGGAAACTTCAGGTGCCCCAACCCCCTGGGAGGCAATGCAGCCCTGAGGCCCCTCACGGAGATAAACAGCCTGCCAGTCGTTCCCCCTCCTGCACAGCCCCGCCGAAACAGCCGAGCAGCCAGAGAGTGGCCCCATGGGCACGCAGTGGCTGAGCAGCCAGGGAGCGGCCGTGCATGCACACGTAGCAGCAGAGCAGCCAGGGAGTGGCTGCACCAACAGCAACCACCCAGAATCTCCTCCCGGAGTGCAGCCACCTGGGCCAGACCCAGAGGCCACCACCAATGCACAGCTGTCCGACACAGGCAGAGTGAAACCAGAGCAAGGTGTGAAGGGGCACCATTCTTGCAGGAGAGCACACCCGGCGCGCCTGCCACTCCCTGCAGGGCTCTGGGCTACTCTGAAGGCAACTCCACCCACGGCAGCTTAGGGGATTAATCCGGAGGCTGTGCCAGGTGTGCGGGTAACTAACACAGGCAGCGGAGAAGGGCAACGTGACCATTGGGGATGAAATTCTTTGGTTTCTGTTTTTGGATATGGACTCAGTGTCTTAAAATAGCTGTTTCTCAAAATCTTATTTCATTTTTATAATTATTAGCTGGGGGCCTCATGGGACCACTTCACTCCTTTACTGTAACAGAAGCCCTGGTTCTTCCTATTCAATAATAAACTTGATGCAGAAAAATTGTGCTGCAGAAAGTATTTGGAAATCACCATTCTGCAGGATAATATGAACTCAGATCTAATTCAACAGGCTTCTCTCCTCACCCTAGCCACTTTTTTTTTGCTTTTTTTAATTAAGGTATTATTAATATACAGTCTTATGAAGGTTTCACATGAAAAAACAATGAGGTTACTACATTTACCCATATTATCAAGTCCCCACCCATATCCCAATGCAGTCACTGTCCATCAGTGTAGTCAGATGCCACAGAGTCACTGTTTGCCTTCCATATACCCTAGCCACTTTTCATTTCATCAACCTGGCAATAACATGAGCTTACATTTTATGCAATTGAAGTACTTAGATTTTCCCTCTAACATTACAGAAGGATTTAACCATCTACTAACATACAGACTGATGAACAGAAAGGCAATAAAACTTTTGAAAGGATATACAAGAGAATGTTAACAGGTACTTCTGATGGTGATATTACATAAAACTAATTTCTGTTTTTACCTGATTTTTCTATTTTTTTCGCACAAAGAACATGTATTACTTATGTAAAAATATAACCCATGTCATCTGATATAAAGATATGTCTCACCATTCAGGGTACTTGTGCTCACCTGACAAAACGTTCCACATAGGGCATTGCAAAGAATCGTTTCCTATTATACCTTTTATTTAGGTACCAAGGTATAGGCCACTGCTTGAATCTATGCCTGCAAAGAGAGTAAAAAAGTATCACCTTACAGAAAGCATTTTCACTTTTTACAGTCTTAGCTTTCTTTGGACTAAACATATTTTAAATGAGATGTAATCAACCTGAAGATTTTTAAATTTTGTTTTAAATTACAAACTTAAGAGAACTAAGCACAGATTATATACATGACATGTATGAACCCACTGCAAAAGTGCAGATGTTAATATTCTGCAATGTTTCCTTCAGATCACTCTTAAATGTGTATATATATATATATAATTTGATATATATGTAATTTGATATTACATGTATATGTATGTTTTGTTATTCAAATTAAATAAATTGCACCAACCAATATAGATTATCTGTATTTACAGCAACATAATTAAAACTAAAAAATGTTGAGTGGGGGGGGGAAGAAAATTGTGAATTCATACTAAAACATTTATTTGAAAATATTTCAATTTAAAAGGTAACAGTAAGCATCACTGCTGCTGACATTAGTGGCGCCCATGCCTCAGCCTGCACTGTGCTACATGGGGGGCGTGGGGAGTTGGGCCTGTGTCCGCCAGCTCCGGGATTCCTCAGGTATTAGGGATTCATTCATTCATCCACTCACCACTTACAGAATGCCGTCTATGTGACAGAACAATACTAGAGGCTTGGACTATAGCATGGAACAAAATATACTTTCTGCTATCATGGTGCTTGTATTGTCATGGATCAGTTAATTAGTGAGTGTGGAGAGAAGCCAAGATGGTGGTGTGAGTAGGGCAGCAGAAATCTCCTCCGGAAACCATATATATTTTTGAAAATACAACAAATACAACTATTCCTATAAGAGAGACCAGAGGATACAGTACAACAGCCAGGCTACATTTACATCTGCGAGAACTCAGTATCTTACAAAGGGGGTAAGATACAAGCCGTGGCCCAGTGGGACCCAAGCGCTTCCCTGACCCTAGCTCCCTGGGGGGGAGAAAGGAGTCAGAGCAGGGAGGAAGTGGAAGAACAGGACTGCTAAATAACCAGCTCTGATGGTCTGCATCAGGAGGGCAGACACACACTGCATGGTGTGCTGGATATCAGAGAAACGGAAAAGTAAAATCTGCGAGCAGGTGCCTGGAGCCAGCTCCCCTGGGACAACAGAAAAGCGAGTGCTTTTTGAAAGTCTTAAAGGGACAGGAGCCGCACAGCTGGATGGAAGTGTCCCAGCACACTCAGCCCAGCAGCTGGGAATCCCAGGAAACTTCAGGTGCCCCAACCCCCTGGGAGGCAATGCAGCCCTGAGGCCCCTCACGGAGATAAACAGCCTGCCAGTCGTTCCCCCTCCTGCACAGCCCCGCCGAAACAGCCGAGCAGCCAGAGAGTGGCCCCATGGGCACGCAGTGGCTGAGCAGCCAGGGAGCGGCCGTGCATGCACACGTAGCAGCAGAGCAGCCAGGGAGTGGCTGCACCAACAGCAACCACCCAGAATCTCCTCCCGGAGTGCAGCCACCTGGGCCAGACCCAGAGGCCACCACCAATGCACAGCTGTCCGACACAGGCAGAGTGAAACCAGAGCAAGGTGTGAAGGGGCACCATTCTTGCAGGAGAGCACACCCGGCGCGCCTGCCACTCCCTGCAGGGCTCTGGGCTACTCTGAAGGCAACTCCACCCACGGCAGCTTAGGGGATTAATCCGGAGGCTGTGCCAGGTGTGCGGGTAACTAACACAGGCAGCGGAGAAGGGCAACGTGACCAACAAGCAGGAAAGGACCTTGTTCTCAGAGCTGACACACACGCTACCTGCCTACAGCTACCTCTATCGCCATGAAAAGGCAGAAGAATTTGGTCCAGTCCACAATGACCCAGACAACCCTAAAATGACCCAGACAACCCTGAAGAGAGGGCCTGGGGAGATATATTTAACCAATCTTCCTGAAAAAGAATTCAAAATAAAGGTAATAACCATGCTGATGGAGCTGCAGAGAAATATGCAAGAGCTAAAGGATCAAGTTGGGAGGGAGAATACAGAAGTAAATCTCTGGAAGGACTTAAGAGCAGACTGGATGAAGTGCAAGAGGCCATGAATGGAATAGAAATCTGAGAACAGGAACACAGAGAAGCTGAGGCAGAGAGAGAAAAAGGATCTCCAGGAATGAAAGAATATTGAGAGATCTGTGTGACCAAACGGAAAAATATTCGCATTGTAGGAGTACCAGAAGAAGAAGAAGAGAGAAAAAGGAATAGAAACTGTCTTTGAAGAAATAATTGCTGAAAACTTCCCCAAACTGGGGGAGGAAATAGTCTCTCAGACCATGGAAGCCCACAGAACTCCCAACACAAGGGACCCGAGGAGGACAACACCAAGACATATAATAATTAAAATGGCAAAGATCAAAGACAAGGACAGAGTATTAAAGGCAGCCAGAGAGAGAAAAAAGGTCACCTATAAAGGAAAACCCATCAGGCTATCATCAGACTTCTCAACAGAAACCTTACAGGCCAGAAGAGAATGGCATGATATATTTAATGCAATGAACAGAAGGGCCTTGAACCAAGAATACTGTATCCAGCATGACTATCATTTAAATATGAAGGAGGGATTAAAATATTACCAGACAAGCAAAAGTTGAGGGAATTTGGCTCCCACAAACCACCTCTACAGGATATTTTAAAGGTACTGCTCTAGATGGAAGCAGTCCTAATGCTAAATAGATGTTAACAGAGAAAATAAAATCACAACAAAGAAAGCAGACCAGCCAAATACTAACTAAAGGCATAAAATAAAATCAACTACTCACAAAAGCAATCAAAGGAAACATAAAAGAGTACAGAATAAAACACCTAAAATATAAAGAATAGTGGACGAGGAATAAGACAGGAGAGAAATAAAGAATCATCAGACTGTGTTTACAGTAACTTAATAAGAGAGTTAAGTTAGATGGTTAGATAAGAAGCTACCCTTGAACCTTTGGTAACCATGAACCTAAAGTCTCCAATGGCAATAAGTACATATCTTTCTATAATCACCCTACATGTAAATGGACTGAATGTACCAATCAAAAGATGCAGAGCAATAAAATGGATAAAAAAGCAAGACCCATCTATATGCTGCTTACAAGAGACTCACCTCAAACCCAAAGACATACACAGACTAAAAGTCAAGGGATGGAAAAAGATATTTCATGCAAACAATAGGGAGAAAAAGCAGGTGTTGCAGTACTAGTATCAGACAAAATAGACTTCAAAACAAAGAAAGTAACAAGAGATAAAGAAGGACATTACATAATCATAAAGGAGTCAGTCCAACAAGAGGATATAACCATTATAAATATATATGCACCCAACACAGGAGCACCAACATATGTGAAACAAATATTAACAGAATTAAAGGAGGAAATAGAATGCAATGCATTCTTTCTAGGAGACTTCAACGCACCACTCACTCCAAAGGACAGATCCACCAGACAGAAAATAAGTTAAGGACACAGAGGCACTGAACAACACACTAGAACAGATGGACCTAATAGACATCTACAGAACTCTACACCCAAAAGCAGCAGGATACACATTCTTCTCAAGAGCACGTGGAACATTTTCCAGAACAGACCACATACTAGGCCACAAAAAGAGCCTCAGTAAATTCAAAAAGACTGATATTCTACCAACCAACTTCTCAGACCACAGAGGCATAAAACTAGAAATAAATTGTACAAAGAAAACAAAAAGGCTCACAAACACATGGAGGCTTAACAACATGCTCCTAAATAATCAATGGATCAATGACCAAATTAAAAAAGAGATCAAGCAATATATGGAGACAAATGACAACAACAGCACAAAGCCACAACTTCTGTGAGACACAGCGAAGGCAGTTCTAAGAGGAAAGTATATAGTAATCCAGGCCTATTTAAAGAAGGAAGAACAATCCCAAATGAATAGTCTAAAGTCACAATTATTGAAACTGGAGAAAGAAGAACAAATGAGGCCCAATGTCACCAGAAGGAGGGACATAATAAAGATCAGAGAAGAAATAAATAAAATTGAGAAGAATAAAACAATAGAAAACAATCAATGAAACCAAGAACTGGTTGAGAAAATAAACAAAATAGGCCCCTAACCAGACTTATTAAGAGAAAAAGAGAATCAACACACATTAACAGAATCAGAAATGAGAAAGGAAAAATCACAACGGACCCCACAGAAATACAAGAAATTATTAGAGAATACTATGAAAATCTATATGCTACTAAGCTGGAAAACCTAGAAGAAATGGACAACTTCCTAGAGAAATACAACCTACCAAGACTAAGGAAGAAACAGAAAATCTAAACAGACCAATTACCAGCAAAGAAAATTGAATCGGTAATCAAAAATCTACCCAAGAACAAAACTCCTGGACCAGATGGATTCACCGCTGAATTTTATCAGACATATAGAGAAGACATAATACCCATTCTCCTTAAAGTTTTCAAAAAAATAGAAGAGGAGGGAATACTTCCAAACTCATTCTATGAAGCCAGCATCACTCTAATACCAAAACCAGGCAAAGACCCCACCAAAAAAGAAAATTACCAACCAATATCCCTGATGAACATAGATGCAAAAATACTCAACAAAATATTAGCAAACCGAATTCAAAAATACATCAAGAGTATCATACACCACAATCAAGTGGGATTCATCTCAGGGATGCAAGGATGGTACGATGGTACAACATTCGAAAATCCATCAACATCATCCACATCAACAGAAAGGACAAAAACCACATGATCATCTCCATAGACGCTGAAAAAGCATTTGACAAAATTCAGCATCCATTCAATGATAAAAACTCTCAACAAAATGGGTATAGAGGGCAAGTACCTCAACATAATAAAGGCTGTATATGACAAACCCACAGCCAACATCATACTTAACAGCGAGAAGCTAAAAGCTTTTCCTCTGAGATCAGGAACAAGACAGGGATGCCCACTCTCCAGGGATGCCCACACTCCCCACTGTTATTCAACATAATATTGAAAGTCCTAGCCACGGCAATCAGACAAAACAAAGAAATACAAGGCATCCAGACTGATAAAGAAGAAGTCAAACTGTCACTATTTGCAGAAGACACGATATTGTACATAAAAAACCCTAAAGACTCCACCCCAAAACTACTAGAATATCTGAATTCAGCAAAGTTGCATGATACAAAATTAATACACACAAATCTGCTGCTTTCCTATACACTAAGGATGAGCTAGCAGAAGGAGAAATCAGGAAAACAATTCCATTCACAATTGCATCAAAAAAAATAAAATACCTAGGACTAAACCTAACCAAGGAAGTGAAAGACCTATACCCTGAAAACTACAAGACACTCTTAAGAGAAATTAAAGAGGTCACTAACAAATAGAAACTCATCCCATGCTCTTGGCTAGGAAGAATATTGTCAAAATGGCCATCCTGCCTAAAGCAGTCTACAGGTTCAATGCAAGGCCTATCAAAATACCAACAGCATTCTTCAACGAACTGGAAGAAATAATTTAAAAATTCATATGGAACCAAAAAAGACCCCAAATAGCTAAAGCAATCCTGAGAAGGAAGATTAAAGCAGGGGGGAATCTCACTTCCCAATTTTAAGTTCTACTACAAAGCCACAGTAATCAAGACAATTTGGTACAGGAAGAAGAACAGACCCACAGACCAGTGGAACAGAATAGAGTCCAGATATTAACCCAAACATATGGTCAATTAATATATGATAAAGGAGCCATGGACATACAATGGTGAAATGACAGCCTCTTCAACGGCTGGTGTTGGCAAAACTGGACAGCTACATGTAAGAGAATGAAACTGGATCACTATCTAACCCCATACACAAAAGTAAATTCGAAGTGGATCAAAGACCTGAATGTAAGTCATGAAACCATAAAACTCTTAGAAAAAAACATAGGCAAAAATCTCTTTGACATAAACATGAGTGACTTCTTCATGAACATATCTCCCCAGGAAAGGGAAACAAAAGCAAAAATGAGTAAGTGGGACTACATCAAATTGAAAAGCTTCTGTACAGCAAAGGACACCACCAATAGAACCAAAAGGCATCCTACAGTATGGGAGAATATATTCATAAATGACAGATCTGATAAAGGGTTGACATCCAAAAAATATATATAAAGAGCCCAGGCACCTCAACAAACAAAAAGCAAATAATCCAATTAAAAAATGGTCAGAGGAGCTGAACAGACAGTTCTCCAAAGAAGAAATTGAGATGGCTAACAGACACATGAAAAGATGCTCCACATCACTAGTCATCAGAGAAATGCAAATTAATACCACAATGAGATATCACCTCACACCAGTAAGGACTGCCACCATCCAAAAGACAAACAACAACAAATGTTGGCAAGGATGTGGAAAAAGGGGAACCCTCCTACACTGCTGGTGGGAATGTAAACGTGTTCAACAATTGCGGAAAGCAGTATGGAGGTTCCTCAAGAAACTCAAAATAGAAATACTATTTGACCTAGGAATTCCACTCCTAGGAATTTACCCTAAGAACGCAGCAACCCAGTTTGAAAAAGACAAATGCACCCCTATGTTCATCACAGCACTATTTACAACAGCCAAGAAATGGAAGCAACCTAAGTGTCCATCAGTAGATGAATGGATAAAGAAGATGTGGTACATATACACAATGGAATATTATTCAGCCATTAGAAGAAAACAAATCCTACCATTTGCAACAACATGGATGGAGCTAGAGGGTATTATGCTCAGTGAAATAAGCCAGGCGGAGAAAGACAAGTATCAGATGATTTCACTCATCTGTGGAGTATAAGAACAAAGGAAAAACTGAAGGAATAAAACAGTAGCAGACTCACAGAACCCAAAAATGGACTAACATTACCAAAGGGAGAAGGACTGGGGAGAACAGGTGGGAAGGGAGGGATGAGGGGTTGGAAAAAAGAAAGGGGGCATTATGATTAGCATGTATAATGTGTGTGTGGGGGCATTGGGAGGGCTCTGCAACACAGAGAAGACAAGTGGTGATTCTACATCTTCCTACGCTGATGGGCAATGTCTGCAATTGGGAATGTTGAAGGAACTTGGTGACGGGAAGAGTCTAGTAAACATAATGTTCCTCATCTAATTGTGGAGTAATGATACCAAAATTTAAAAAAATTAAAAAAGATAACAGAAGAATTAATTTCAGGCATTGAACTTATCTTTTCTAGGCCTCCAGAGTTAATCTGTAGGATTATAAGACTAAGTTCCAGTATCTTTGTAATTTTGGCTTTTAATATATAACTTGACAGTCCCAGAAGAGATAGGGACTACCACTTTGAGCAGAATAGATAACAGTATTTTATATCCTTTGTTTCATCAGGGGTAGGGTCTACCATTATTTCTCACAGCCAAAAAGTAATCCCTGACATCACTGCCAAATATGTTTTCACAGAAAAAAAAATTAGATGTAATGTTTTTAAGAAGGAGCTCTGCATTCAAAAGCTATCTTAAATAACATGCAACAGAAAATTGGGGAAAAGACTGGAATCATAATGTTTGAGTTAATAAGCTACAGTGGAAAGATGGTATGATTGACTTTTTCACTACTTTCTTTAGCTCTGGAAAAGTTAAAAGGCAAAATTCTAAAAAACCTTGAAGACAATAGCACTTTTACAGGTTTTGCAAATAGATTTTTCTCCCCTATCCTCACCCTATCCTAACTGACTACAACTGTATTAATTAAATTAGAAAATAAAATAAAAATCAAAGCTTTTAGTCAGTTGTTTTGGCAATTTCTTTCCTGTATGGATCACACGATTACAGACAACACAGCTACTCCCATAAATTTGGCTCCAAGCAGCCTCATTACCACAAACTCCATTAAAAGAACTACCAAATGAGTAAGCGCTATTACGTGGTGCAATTCCAAGAATATAGAACGTCTTGAATCACCCAAAATGCCTTCCTTACTTTGCTGACTGATGTTTAAAATTCTACTAAGGATATTTCCTTTTGGCAGTTCAACCCAAATGTAAATAAACCCCTGGAAGAAACAAAATACACTGGGTCTTCTCAATTACTTATACTTCAGTGTGAAAGCTTATGAAGAAATCCTTTCCCAAGGTCTGACAGGACTGTGGGATTGGGCACAGGGAAGAAGATGTCACGATGGGTAGAAAGATGTAATGAAAATAAACTGTTTCATGATTTGGACTAGTGCTTATCCTAACATCAGTGGGCACACAATGACACTGGTTCATGTGGACTTATTCTTTGAGAACATTTTTTAATAATTCCACATTCTTAATAGGCAAAGACAGGCGTGTGTCCTAAAATAAGCTTCATGGAATTTATAACCTTCTGAAGTTTTTTGTGCACATATACATTTTTCTGGGGAAAGGATCTATAACTCTTCAATTCTCAAAAGATCATATGATTCTCATAAAATTAAGAACCACTGCTAAAAGAAATGAATCATGGAAATGGGAAGCCAGATGAAGCTGCCTTCATTCATATCCTGGAATTCCAATGGGATTTGGGGACCTCTGTATTAGGTACATTTGTAATATACTTAAGATGCTGAGAGTTTTCTTAAAAGATATTGGACAGGGGAATGAGACATGGGACTTCCCCTTTCTTCTTAGCAAAGCCACAATGTAAACTATGTACCAGATGATTCTTCCAAAGATGTCTCTTCTCCAAGCACCAGGTCTAGCTTTTTCTTGACCAGTCTGAAGAAGTCTTAGGGCATCTTCTCTTTCCTGGACAACTTTATCTAATGCATCCATGGAATCTACTACCTGGGAAGAGAATCAGAAGGTATAATTTCAACACTCACCTACAACAGCATACCAAAAAAGAGAACATACCAACACTGTGCTACAGAAAACCTGCAATGAATATTTTCTGTCAAAGAACCATTCAGTCAAGCGTTTCCTAAAACTTTTTCACACACATATGCATGTATCAGTTTATGTAATATCACTTCCTGTAATTTTTTAAAGTTTAAATCTATAATCCATATATTAGTTTTGTTTGGAGTGGCATATACTTGCATAGATTCCTTCTGGAGACCTAATTTGACTCAGGCATTTCAAAACTCAATGATCTATTATGAAGTGGTAAGTTTGTTACCTTTAAATATTAAAACCTGTATTTTGGCCTCAGGTAATCAGTGTGTCCCTAATATGCAGACACAGGTACTGTGACCTGCATGGCAGCCATTGCTATGATAGGGAATGGGCCATCAGTCTGTCCTGATATAGGCCACCTCAGAGACACTGCGGGTCAAGTCCAGAGCACAACAACAAAGCAATGTCATAAAGAAGTGAGTCAAATGAATTTTTTGGGTTACCCAACACATATAAAAGTTGTGTTTACACTATACTGTAATCTCTTAAGTGTGCAACAACAGCATTTTGCCTAAAAGCAATGGACATACCTTAATTAAAAACACTATTGCTAATGGATCAAAGACCTGAATGTAAGTCATGAAACCATAAAACTCTTAAAAGGCAACATAGGCAAAAATCTCCTGAATATAAACATGTGCAACTTTTTCCAGAATGCATCTCCTTGGGCAAGGGAAACAAAAGCAAAAATGAACAAGTGGGACCACATCAAGCTAAAAAGCTTCTGTACGACAAAGGACACCAACAGAACAAAAAGGCATCCTACAGTATGAGAGAATATATTTGTAAACGACTTATCCGACAAGGGGTTAACATCCAAAATATATAAAGAACTCACATGCCTCAACACCCAAAAAGCAAACAACCCGATTAAAAAATGAGCGAAGGATATGAAGAGACAATTCTCCAAAGAAGAAATTGAGATGGCCAACAGACACATGAAACGATGCTCCACATCACTAATCATCAGGGAAATGCAAATTAAAACCACAATGAGATATCACCTCACACCAGTTAGGATGGCCAGCATTGAAAAGACTAAGAACAACAAATGCTGGCGAGGATGCGGAGAAAGGGGAACCCTCCTACACTGCTGGTGGGACTGTAAGCTAGTTCAACCATTGTGGAAAGCAGTATGGAGATTCCTCAAAAAACCAAACAGAAATACCATTTGACCTGGGAATCCCACTCCTTGGAATTTACCCAAAGAATACAAGTTCTCAGATTCAAACAGGCATATGCACCCCTTTGTTTATCACAGCACTATTTACAATAGCCAAGATATGGAAGCAACCTAAGTGTCCATCAGTAGATGAATGGATAAAGAAGATGTGGTACATATACACAATGGAATACTATTCAACTATAAGAAAGAAACAAATCCTACCATTTGCAACAACATGGATGGAGCTAGAGGGTATTATGCTCAGTGAAATAAGCCAGGAGGAGAAAGACAAGTGCCAAATGTTTTCCCTCATTTGTCGAGTATAACAACAAAGCAAAACTAAAGGAACAAAACAGCATCAGACTCATACTCCAAGAAGGGATTAGCGGTTACCAAAGGGGAGGGGTGTGGGAGGGCAGGTGGGGAAGGAGGGAGAAGGGGATTGAGGGCTATTATGTTTAGTACACATGGTGTGGAGGGTCACGGGGAAGACAGTGTAGCACAGAGAAGGCAAATAGTGAATCTGTGGCATCTTAGTACACTGACAGACAGTGACTGTACTGGGGTATGGGTGGAAACTTGATAATGTGGGTAAATGTAGTTACCACATTGTTTTTTCATGTGAAACCTTCATAAGAGTATATATCAATAATACCTTGATTAAAAAAAAAACACTATTGCTAAAAATTGCAAATCATCACCTGAGCTTTCAGCCAGTCACGCTCTTTTTGCTGGTGGAGGGTCTTGCCCCAGTGTTGATGGCTGCTGACTCATCAGGATGGTGGTTGCTGAAGGCTTGAGTGACTGGCAATTTATTAAAACAGGACAAAAATGAAGTTTGCCACAATGATTGATCTCCATTCACCAATGATTTCTCTGTTGCATGCAATGCTGTTTGAAAGCACTTTACCCACTAAAGAACTTTCAAACTGGAGTCAATCCTCTTAAGCCCAACTGGTAGCCTTATCAACTATGTTTATGTAATATTCTAAATACTCTGTAGTTCTCGTTTCAACAATTTTTACTGCATATTCACCAGGAGTAGATTCCATTTCAAGAAACCACTTCTTTGCTCATCCGTAAAAATCAGCTCCTCATCCGCTCAAGTTTTATCATGAGATTGTAGTAATTCAGTCACATCTTCAGGCTCCACCTCTAAGTCTAGTTCTCTTGCTATTTCCACCATATCTATAGTTGCTTTTTCCACTGAAATCTTGAACCCTCATTGTCATCCATGAGGGTTGGAATCAACTTCTTCCAAACTCCTGCTCATGTTGGTTATTTTGACCTTTTCTCATGAATTACAAATGTTCTTGATGGCATGTAGGATGTGAATACTTTCCAGAAAGCTTTCAATTTACTCCCTCTGCCTGGATCCATCAGAGGAATCACTATCTATGGCAGCTGTAGCTTTAACTATATGTAACTCATAAAGAGTTAAGACCTGAAAGTTGAAATGACTTTTTGATCCATAGACTGCAGAATGGATGTTGTATTAGCAGGCATGAAAACAACATTAATCTCTTTGTCCATCTCCATCAGAGCTCCTGGGTGACCAAGTGTACTGTCAATGACCTTGTGTCAATATTTTTAAATTAATATTTTTTTCTGAGGAATAGGTCTCCACAGTGGGCTTAAACAATTCAGTAAACCACATTATAAAAAAACACTCCATCATCCAGGCTTGTTACAGTTAAATAGATTTTCAGGGTAACTTGCTGCAGCTTCCACATTAGCATTTGATACTTCACCTTGTACTTTCATGTTATAGAAACAGCTTCTTTCCTTAAACCTAATGAACCAATCTCTGCTAGCTTCACACTCTTCTTCTGCAGCTCCTTCACTTTTCTCAGCCTTCGCAGAGTTAGAGTTAGGGCTTTGTTTTGACTTAAGGGAATGTTGTGGCTGGTGTGATCTTCCATGCAGACCATTAAAACACTCTCCATGTCAGCAATGAGGCTGTTTCACTTTATCATTCATGTGTTCACTGGTGGAGCACTTTTAATTTCCTTCAGTAACTTTTCCCTTGCACTCACAACTTGGCTAACTCATGCAAGAGGCCCGGCTTTCAGCCTGTCTCGGCTTTCACTTGACATGCCTTCCCCACTAAGCTTAATTGTTGCTTGCTCTTTATTTAAAAACATGTGACTCTTCTTCACTTGAATATTTAGAGTCCACTGTAGGGTTATTAATTCACCTAAAGTCAATGCTGTTGTATCTCAGGGAATAGCGAGGCTTGAGGAAAGGGAGAGAGATGGGGAATGGCCAGTCAGTGGAGCAGTTGACACATGGTAGTTGTTGGTTAAGTTTGCTGTCTTATATGGGCAAGGTTCATGGTTCCCCAAAACAGTTACAACAGTAACATCAAAGGTCACCATAACAAATAAAATAATAATGAAAAAGTGAAATATTGCGGGAAATACCAAAATGTATCACAAAGTCATGAAGTGAACAAATATGGTTGGAAAAATGACAGTGACAGATTTGCTCCATGCAGGGTTACCACAAACCTTCAATTTGTAAAAAAAACAGTACCTATCTGCGAAGTGTAATTAGACTACTTTTGCCTGTGCTAATCTCTAAAGATCCATCAATATGCAAGAAGATACTACTAGAATTCTGTTTACTTTTATCTTTAACATTTTCTATTTTGTTTTATAATGTATATAATAATATATTGGTAGAACATGTATTTGTTTATAAATAAATGTTTCTATGTTGAAGATTATAATGGTAGAAGAGCTAAATTTTTTCATAGTTCTAAACAGTGGAAGGCATTTTTAGATGGTTATGTGTATTATCATTGAGTATCATAACAGGTATGAAATACTATATATATATATATATATATATATATACATTTGTTTCTTGTAAGAATCCTCAAAATAATGGAGGGGCTGATTAGATTATAAATATAATCCTCTAGGCAGCTGTGGGACCCAAAAGCGATATAAAAGCCACAAATTTAGATAAACTACCATAACTTGTATATTCAGCTCACTCTCAGCATTTCTGCCATCCTGTATGTCACTCAAAGGAACACTGAATAGCTGAATCCACATGTACTTCCTCTCAGCTATATGAACTACAAAATCCTCGAGAAATAAAAAATGCCTAAGAATGACAAATCCTATTTTTAAGACAGAAGCGTGAAGGGACCACACAAATTGGGGCCTAATACAAAGCTCTCTAACCTTAGGAACTTAGTAGACTGGCTGCTGACTGACGGACAAATTAAAGAGTTTGACCAACATAGTGAGGGCTGAGGCTCCCAATGGGAATCTACTGTTAGCTCACCAAGACAGAACACAAATTGCTACCACGTTCACTGAGTTAACAGTTAATTATTCATGTTCATGCCAACAGATGAAAAGGAAAATCATAACTATCAATTGGATATACCTATTCAAAATAAGCCAACCTCAAAGAGCTTTCTTTTCTAGTTTACAACTTTCTCAGAGCGAAGAGTTCCAAATCTTCAACTTACATCTTAAATTGCACTTTATTTTTCCTTGATAAATTTTCCTTAGTAAGTTACCAAACACTGAAAAAAAAATGCTTATATCTGAGGTATTTAAAAAAATCATGGTCACTTTATGTAAAGAAAACTTTTATTATTTTGATTCTACTAATTAAGAAAGTGTAGTACATGTGACCTACTAAGCTGAAGTTCACCTCTGAAATACAATTGTTAAAGCAGGGAGAGGGAATTTTCTATTACTAAGGTTTAGAAAAATTTTAGAACAGTACCATTCTAGCAAAATCTTCTTCATTAAATAAACAATGTGTTATTTATAAACAACTAGTGCACTTTAAAAGAGTCTCTAAAATGTAACTTTCCTTTAAGAGCAGAGTTAGCAAATATACCTGAAAATAAAATCACTGTACATTACAAATGTTATGTAGCAATGAAGACACCTACTACCCAGATCTTAGTTTCCAAATATACCATTCTCCATTGAAAAGAATCCAAGCTCCCTGAGAAGTGGCCAATTCCAGAGCTAGCGGCAGGCAAAAAGACATATCCAAAACATCTTGCTTTGTATGTCTCATCACAGAATGATGAGTACACAGGGGCCAGCCTGAACGAACCCGCACTGGTCAAATCTGGGATTCTGATATTAAAGGATTATAACTCATGGAATAAAATTGGAATCCGTGAGTCCACACTGGTTATGGGTGGAAGAAAGCAAGCAAGGAAGGTAGGAAGAAAGATATGGTGAGAAAAGAAAGCCCTTCCTTATAGAAGAAAACTAACCAATAATGGAGAATAAAGGATGGGATTAGAAAATCACCATTTAGCAAGATCATAGTAATAACAGATTCAGACAAGAATCATCAGTAGATGCTAAAACCAGTGAGTGGAGATTTTGTTTGAGGAGCTTGAGGAGTTACAGGGTATTTACAACTCAACACGAAGAATATTTAGTAACTATACAGCAGACACCACACTAACCAAATTATTAATGCTAACATCTGTAACAAAATCAACATCCTGTGCCTTCTGTTAAGATGCACTGTGAAGAATACAGCATCGTTTCTTTGATATTCCTGCCAATCATCATGATTATCATGAGTAACAACATACAATCCCAAACTGGCCGATACTCTTCAAAACTGTCAATGTCATGAAATACAAAGAAAAACTGAGTATCCAGATTAAAGGAGATTAAAGAGATAAACAACTGAAAATGCAGCAACCAGGATTTTCTTTTGCTACAGAGGATATTGTTGGGATAACTGATGAAATTTGATTAAGATCTGTAGATTATAGTATTGTATTAATGCTTATTTCCTGATTTTGAAAATTATACAATGGCTATGTAAGAAAATATCTTTGTTTGTTTGGTAATATACTCTTAAGTATTTATAGATAAAGGGCCGTGTACATAACTTACCTTCAACTGAGGAAAAAAAATGTGTTTACGTAGAGAAGGAGGCAGAGAAGGATTAAAGCAAATATGGCGAAACGCATGTGGAATCTGGGTGAGAGACAGCTCTGTACTATTCTTAAAACTTTTCTGCAATTGCATGTTATCAAAAAATGAAAAATGTCATATAAGTCAATTTTTATTAAGTCAGAATAACCTCCTTCATAACTGAATTATTTACACTTAAAAATGGTTAAAATGGTAGATTTTTATGTTATATGTTTTTTACTATAATAAAAAAATGCATTAAGAAATATGACCTAGTTGGTGAGGAAGTGACTAAACTGAACCAGAAATCTGTAGTGGCATAGGTACTTCAGAAAACAGCTGGGCTGTTTCCTTAATTGTTAAACACAGATTTACCATACGACCCGGCAATTTCACTCCTAGGTTAACTATCCAAGAGAAATAAAAACATATGTACACACACATGTTGGAGGTTGCAGGTCAAAATGGGAAGTGACTGCAGATGGGGCATGAGGTTTCTTTTTTGGGTGATGGAAATATTCTAAAATAAGACAGTAGTAATGGTTGCACAACTCTGCAAATTTACTAAAAATCAAGGAGAAATAGAAAAAAACAAATCTCCCTGTTAAGAAATATAGGAACCACTACATCCATATGTTTTTAGCTTTTATCTCACACAACTGTCTCCAGCCTCCCACGAATCTTACCTTTTCTAACCGCTCCGGACTAGGCATTGGCAATCTCTGCCGCTTGGCCTCCTGCTCTAGAGTCAGAAGCATGTTTCTTTCTTTCAGTAGGACATACCTGTATCAAAGAACACAAAGTTTTGTGCTGTTCTATGGTTGCACTAATCAAGTTGTGACTTTTGACATTAAAATTAATGATCTGTGCTCAAACGCACCTTTAGAAATCTCGATATAAAGAATATCATTACAAAGAATAATCCTTTAAACAGAGCTATACCTATTCTTATTAATTTGTTCAATAAATTTTCCATATGCCACATATTGCATTATGCACCAGAATTACAAAAAGGCATAAAACAATAGTCCCTACATTCCAAGTGGAGAGAGATGGAAGATCAATAATATTTATTCAGTACACGTTATATGCCAGGCAATGTGCTGAGCACTTAATATGAGCTCATTTAATTCTCACAACAACCCATTGAGGTTGATATTATTTCCCCTTTTTGAATGAAGAAACTAAGGCTGAGAGAAGTAAGGTATTCTAGGGCACACATCTAATTCAAGATTCAAATCACGGCCTCCCTATATGCGAAACCCACTGGATTTTTACTCCACTATGCTGCCTCTGAAACTACAAAATGATGTGGTGTATTGAGCTCTATAAACAACAAGTACCAGAAGAATTAGGTGGCAGAGATGAGATTTCTCTTTCAGCTAAGATGATCAAGAAAAGCTTCATGGGGATGGGACCTGGGAGGCTGGACAGAAAACCAAAGCAAACATATATAAAGAATATCATTACAAAGAATAATCCTTTAAACAGAGCTATACCTATTCTTATTAATTTGTTCAATAAATTTTCCATATGCCACATATTGCATTATGCACCAGAATTACAAAAAGGCATAAAACAATAGTCCCTACATTCCAAGTGGAGAGAGAAGATGGAAGATCAATAATATTTATTCAGTACACGTTATATGCCAGGCAATGTGCTGAGCACTTAATATGAGCTCATTTAATTCTCACAACAACCCATTGAGGTTGATATTATTTCCCCTTTTTGAATGAAGAAACTAAGGCTGAGAGAAGTAAGGTATTCTAGGGCACACATCTAATTCAAGATTCAAATCACGGCCTCCCTATATGCGAAACCCACTGGATTTTTACTCCACTATGCTGCCTCTGAAACTACAAAATGATGTGGTGTATTGAGCTCTATAAACAACAAGTACCAGAAGAATTAGGTGGCAGAGATGAGATTTCTCTTTCAGCTAAGATGATCAAGAAAAGCTTCATGGGGATGGGACCTGGGAGGCTGGACAGAAAACCAAAGCAAACATAATCAAAGGTCCTGAAGTGGCAAAGCCGAGGTCAGAGGAGGCTTTGTGAGTAAGTCTGATTGAGAATTAGAACAGAAAGAAAGGAAAGGAAATAATGTGGAGGGTACTGAAAATGAGACAAAGGAACTGGGGTACTTTTAGTTATGAAAGAAGGCCATTCAGGGGAAGGAATGGCAGGAGATCAATTGTTTGATCTCAGTCACAGTCAATACTGAAACAGCCCTAACTATGCCTTTACCAATAACGCACAGTAACAGTGCTTTCAGACAGCCATTAAGATTCATTTTTCTTTAATGAATCTGTGCTGTTTTACACATAACACTTCTGACTCCAGAGAGATTCTTTCCCTCCTGATACTAAGTATGTGTTGTCTTTTCCAACACCACTTCAACTCCCTGACACTAACTACCTGGAATTGGCACCATATTCCACAGATTAAGGGTTCAGTCCCACAGGACTACCCCCCTACTTGGGATGCTAATAGCAAGTTCCAGGCCTGCCACACATCTGACTGACCAGCTATAAATTGGAGGTTCCAACCTCCTCAGGTTTGAAATTCAGTAATTCGATAGAAGGCCCACAGAACTCAGGAGAGACTTTATTGACTATTACTGATTTTTATAAAGGACACAACTCAGGAGCAGCTAACTGGAAGAGAGGCAAAGGGAAGGATATGTGGTAAAGGCGCAGAGCTTTCGTGCCTTCTCAGAGTGTGCCACCCTCCCATCATCTCCATACACTTACCAACTTGGAAGCTCTTCAAACCCAGTTGTTCAGGACTTTTCATGAAGGTTTCATTGAGTAGGCATGACTGATTAAATCACTGGCCACTGGTGACTGAACTCAGTCTCTACACCCTGTCCCCTTCCCAGAGGTGGAGGTGGTGGTGTGGCTGAAAGCTCTACCTTCTAATCATGTCTTGGTCTTTCTAGCAAACAGCCTCTATCCTGAAGCTACCTATAGACTCTAAGAGTTGCCTAATTAGAACAAAAGACACTCCTATCAGTCACGAAATTCCAAGGGATTTAGGAGCTGTGTTTCAAGGAAATATGGACTAAGACCAAGTATATATTTCTTACTGTATCACATCAATAAATCTATTATATACAGTGACTATATTTAATTTCAAATTTTATACAGTAACTACAGTTAACTCCAACACACTTCCCCAAAGCAAATAAGCTGAAGATTCCATATGACACAAAAGGTAATAAGGAGGTCATAAGGGAGTAATAAGAAGGAATAATAATAATAAAAGGTAATAATAATGAGGAAGCCCAAAATGTGACCAATTCTTCTCTACTTCATTTTTATTAGTTTACTGAAATTGTTGGTATAAAGGTGCTAGTATGACTGGTAGCAGTTATAGTAAAGTAAAATTCTAAACTCCCAACTACTTGAGAACTCTAATTCATTTGTCTTAATGTAATTTAACCTGCCATTATTTATAAAGTCTTTAATGTTCCAGTACTTATCATCCACAGTACTGTAGGACAAATCACTTTACTCAATTCCTTACATGAGAAACATGTGGAGTTTATACCTGTTATCCTGTTACTACTTCACAAACCTACATGTTAATGTACTCACTGTACTTACCAAAGTTTATGCAAATCTTCATTACTTTTGTTCCTTAATTGCTGACAGGTCCATGAAGCTCCTGTTAAAATGATAAATTTATAACATGAAATAATTTTCTAGCTATATGCCCTCTGGCAAGCTACTTAACCTCACTAAACCTGTTGTCTTATCAAAAAATGTGTAATAGCTCTATTATATTATAGTGTAATATATAATTAGGATTATATTGGGGTTAAATTAGGAAACATAAGAAAATATAGCTGGCAATAGCATTCAAAAAATGTTACTATTGGTACAGAATGCATTTTCACATTCTAGTGTCAAAATACTTTATATCATTATAAATTAATTTTCAGTTATCGTTAAAAAAATGAAATGTGAAACAAATCCCAAACCTCCCTTTAATTAATTTCGACCTACTCCTCTTCTAAATGTTTTGACAACCCGCCAAGGAACAATGAACTCTACTATTACACTGCCCTTTTAATTTTCTCTAATAGATACTCCCAAAGGGAATCAGAAAAGGAAACACCTAAATGGATAAACAGTCCCAAAATGAAAGGGTACAACAGATATATTTAATATCAGTGAACACAAATATACTACCAGATTTTACTTTTTCTTCTCCCCAATTCTTTGGGTCATCAAAAAATTCTTCCAGTCCTTTCCTTGACAACGTGGTATGAAGTAATCTACACTGTTGAAAAGACTTGGTATTTGGTGTATTCTTAGGTAACAGACTTAGAGAAAACCTGTAACTGAACATATATATAAAGAAGTGATTAAAGTTTTACATTTGGATTTTATAAGCAATAGACAGAATAATTTCTTCATCTACAATGTTAAAAAAGTATATTAGTGTTTCTTCACAGGAAACAATAAACTTATAAAATGCTTTAGAAGTGAATGTCAGAGATTAATATATTGACATAATTATACTTTAAAGTAACATTTTTAGGTCATTCATACATTGCTAGTGGTTATATAAGCAGAAAAACATTCTGAAGGTTATTCTTGGAATAGAGGCCTCAATGCTTCCTCCTTTGATCCAGTAATTCCATGTTTAGAAAGTTCAATGAAAGGAATTGATAAATTGTCTATTAAAGCATTCTTTATGATATCAAAACATTGATAACATAAATGTGCAACCAGGGAATGGTTAAAGAAATTATTAATAATGTTTTTAAAGAATATTTAATGACCTGGAGAAATAATTTAGAACACAACAGTGCACTGTATCACAAGTGTTGTATTCCTACCAAAAAAATTTAACCTGAACCTAACCATAAAGGAAATGACCAGACAAATCCAAATGGAGGAATATTCTAAAAAGGCTGATCTTAAAAAAAATGTTAGTGTCATGAAGAAGAAAAAAAGGAACTGTTCTGGATTAAAGAAGACTAGAAAGACATGACAGGTGATGCAATAAACAATTGTTGGTTGGATCTGAATAAAAAATTAAGAAAGAAAAAAAAGAAATTAACCAGAACAACTGAGGACATTTGAATTTGGACTATATGCTAGGTACTGTAGGGCAGTAATAGTGTGTAGATACTAAATTCCCCAGTGTGATCACTGTAGTATTGCAGTTATTAAGACAGTGTTTATGTTCTTAGGAGATATGAGCTGAAATGTCATAGTGTTTGTGATTCTGACATACCTCAAAGAGTTCAGGAAAAAAGGCATGGGTATAAAGAGATATACATGTGACAAACTGCAAAGGATTGGTTAGTATAGGTGAAGAATAGATGGTTATTCTTTGTACTACTTTTAAAACTTTTCTATTGGTTTGATAACTTTAAAAATAAAAGTTGGGTAAGCAACGAGTACAAAAACCCATATATATTAATTAATACGATTCTGATTTTGTTTGAAAGTTACATGCATTAATATATATATGCAAAGTTAAAAAGAATGAAGGAAATCTGTTTATCTCTCAGGGATAGAAATACAATTTTTACTTTCTTCTTCAATATACTTTACTCGTTTTCCAAAGTGTCTTTAAATGAACAGATATAACTTTATAATAATAAAAAATCTAAAAATTAATTCTTAAGGAAAAAGGATGAGATGGAAGAGACAAGCGATCCAAGTTTGCCACCTTGAACAAGTTACAACCTCTGAATCTCTGCAAAATGAAAAAAAATTTGCTCATCTGTGAGGTTAGAGTAACAAATAACATGCTCAGTAACTGCTTGATTCAAAAGCACCTTCATTACTTCCTTTTTAAAAAAAAATCTGACACACCCTACTACTTATAAAATTCAACTCATGATAGACAAAAGCCAATTAAGGGGAGGAAACCATACACCCAAAGGAAAAATGATTGGTTAAGCCGTCTTTCCAGATATAATAAACACCACGTACAGGATTATCCTTTTCTCATGCCTGCAGGGCGACTTTCGGATCATTTGGCCCCTTTCATTTATTCACTCAACATTTACTGAACAATCTCTTTGTGACAGATTGTGGAAGTACAATGGCCTCTTCTCTTTTATTCATCCAAACCTGACACAGCTCTCAGTTCCACAGTCAAAGGCTATTCAGTGAAGTTTTTCACAACGCACCACGCAAACAGGATGCTTCTATACCTCTAGGTTTAATTCAACAAAAATACTGCGCAGGTACAGACTCCTTGTACTACCTGGTCCACAGCAGGTGACAACAAAATATTTGAGGAAGGACAGGAAACAATCGAAAGTGGGCGACTTCTCCAAGGTCACTCACTCCGCACGGAGGTGGGTTCGGTCTCAGCCAACTCGGGAGACTTTCCATCCCTGACTTGTTCTCAGCCTCTCCGCAAACACACAGGATCAGTTGGAGAAGTGGACGAGTCTACTTCTCACATCACTTACCCTGTGGTAGCTGAGGCCTGAGAACTTAGTAACGATCTGGAAGCTTTGAGTGTAGCGGGCACTTTTCTGCAGAGCACGGCCAAACTGGCAGCAGCCATTTTATCGGGCAAACCACGTTTCCGCCAACAACGACGCCACTTCCAGCGTCTCACGCCGACCGGATGGACAGACCAGGAAAGGCTTTGCCCTCACTCAACATGGTCGCCTTCCGGTTTCGCTCTTGTTGGTAAATTGGCTTTCTCGGCTCCCGTTTCTCTCCCCGGTTCTTCAAGTGCCCGGAGTAGCCATGGCGGCCATGAGTTTGTTGCAACGGGCTTCGGTCACTGCGGTGGCAGCTCTGTCTGGCCGCCGCCTTAGCACCCGACCTGGATTCGGGGGCTTCCTCACCCGTGACTTTCCGAAGACTGTTGGTGGGTGCTGGCTTTGGGTGAAAGGGGGTGTGGGGTGAGAGACGGAGGACTCTTCCCGGGTGACCTTGGTGGGATCGGAGGGAGCAGGGAGAATTGCGGGCCTGGGGCTTGAGAGGAGAGACGGAGCAGGGGCTGTGTGAGGACATGGAAGGTTTTCCTGAAGTAATCAAGTCGAACCCCTTTAAATTATTAGTTAGCACTTGTGAAACCTTTTGCCGTTCACCCATCCTCATTGCTAATTTGCGGATGAATCTAAGGTTAGGCATAGAGCTGAGACCCTTGTCTTTCCAGCACCAGATTCTTTGTTCCACCGGCACTGGGTTGTAGTCCCACAAGATGGAAAATCATGTTGCTGAGAAGCCCACTTGTTACTGTTGTGCAGACAGGCGGAGAGGCGCAGGGCTAACTCATGCAGTAGGCACAGTGCCTATATGATACTTGTAGGGGTCCAAGAAAATGTTTCAGTTTAAATGTCTTTTAAAATCAGGAGGGAAAACAACTATAATGTTAATGAATATGTGATAATGACTCGTTTTACATCAACGCAGTGTCAAAATAATTTTTAGAGCTTCTTAGAGAGGAAGGGGCCCGTAAAAGAAAGGTCCCTAGGTCTTAGGAAGGTCATAATGCAGATATGGGAGGGTTGTTTGCAGCCTCTTGGAGACTGGGTTGAATTTTAGCAGAATGAATAATCTTAACAGCAAAGCATCAGATGCCTTATATTCAGTCTATCTTACTCGTTCAAACTCTGCAAAGTAAGTACAGCGTTATTATCCCCATTTTACAGATGAGGAAACTGTGGCTTAATTATTACAAAAATAATGCACTACTGAATGTACTAGATTTAATAATAATGGCAGCTAACATTCATTACGCACTTATTATGTGGCAGGCAACATTCTAAGATTATAAACGTATTCATTTAATTGTCTTGATCAAAGATGTATTTTAAGCTCTTTGCCCTAAGACCAGTAGGTAGAGAGGAAGTGAAATTTACCCAACAGCCTTAAAGATCTCCCAACTGGAAATATCCTTCTGTTTAACCCTCTTTTCTTCTCCCAATTTAATTTGAAGTATGTATGTCACTTCACATGATGAAGTACTATACATAGGGACTTGCTGGAAAAATTATAGAAAAGACAAGTGATATTTAACAAATTTCCAGCAGGAATTTGAACCTGTTATAAAACTACATGTGCTAACATTTCTTGATAAAAGTCCCTTTGTAAGCCATTTCTGATAGCCTCTTCTTCAAACACTCCTCAGACAGTATTTAATCATGCCTAGATGGAGATAAACTGAGGTAAAATTTCACCTCCAGATCCTCTTTATACAATATGCTGCATTTTTGGAGATCTGGAAAGATCTTTGTAGTATTTGTAACCTTAAAATATCTATATGCATAATTTTGTATCTTTCTAGAAATGTCATTTTGAAATAAACTTCTCTTTCACCATAAGATCTGTTAAAAAAAGAAAGGTTGATATTAACTTACCTTATAAGGTTATGAGTAGGAAAAAATCTGTAGCACCTAGCATTAGCCTTCTACAAGGCCCTGTGGTGTATATTTCTTAAAACCTAGTACTGTCATGTTACCTTCATTCACCTTCAATGAAAACCTTTCTCAGGAAATTTCCACTGGGAGCAGGAAAGAATCTAAAGCTATACTGAGGATTACTGCCTTTCGGCTGTGTACCTGCTTTCAAAGGTATTTTGCATTGTCACTGTGGAATGAAATGCATTAATCTATTAATATTATTGTTTATGTCTGTCCCTATGAGAATATAATAGCCATCAAAATAGAGAACTTTATTCTGTTCTGTTTCTTTTGGAGGGACACTGTCTAGGTTCAAAAATCCTGGCTAGAGTTTAGTTGCAATATGACCTTGGGTCATCACACCTTGGAAGCTAAGCAGAGGCACTTAATTACTCAGAACCTGCATTTTTTTTCATCTTTGAAAAAGATGATGTTTATTACAAGTGTGCTTATATTCTGTTAACAGGGAAATATAACTAATTTCTTTCCTATTGACAAGTATTTATAACCTTAAAATATCTATATGCATAGTTTTGCATCTTTCTAGAAATGTCATTTTGAAATAAATTCGTTTCCCATAAGATCTGTTAAAAAAATTAAAAAATTGATATTAACTTACCTCAAAGTTGTGACTAGGAAAAATCTATAGCATTTGGCATTAGCCTTCTACAGGGCCCTGTGGTGTACATTTCTTAAAACCTAGTATTGTCATGTTATCTTCGTTCACCTTCAGTGAAAACCTTTCTCAGGAAGTAAGCAGATAAAATTATTCTATTTGTTTAAATTATTAAATATCACATATCAAGGTATTCCAGAAATGAGTTTAAGTTCTCCCCTCAGCTGCAGGAACTTCAGTTTTGAAGATTAAAGACTTGTGTACACATATTATGGTTTAAAAGCACTGAGTATTTAAACAATTATATAAACTAAGTTTATATAAATTATATAAACTAAGACGTGGATGATGCAGCATTTTAACTGGATTCTGAGGATTGTTTACAGGTGTAATTGGCAGAAAAGGAGAGGATGTGTTTTCTGATACATCTGAATATCAGACTGAATACATCTGAATATCAGACTAAGGAAAGATCTCCTGCCAACATTTACTTTACTTAAGAAATGTCAGTTCAGATCTTGGGATAGGGTTGGGAGAGAAGGCTTTAAAAGGGGACTTTGGGACCAAACTGGGGGAAGGGAGGGACTGAAACAAAGCCAAAGTATCTTAACTATTTTGTAGGCAGTAGAGAGTGTTTTAGCAGAAGAGCAACTTCAGTAGTGTGTTTGAGGAAGATGTTTGCAAATATTGGATGGCTTAGAGGAGATGTTGATTACTTAAGCCAGTGAAGTACAGAGGGCATGAAAAGAAATGGAGTGTTTAGATCTTAGAATCAAGAGGCCTTGACAACTGATGAATAAGCGGGGGCAAGTACAGGAAAGATCCCTGAGACTGTTAGCCAGGGTAATTGAGTTAGTGTTGCCATTAAATAGGAAAAGTCAAAGAATGAGGGATCTTTTGATTATTGTCTTAGAGACACAAAAAAATCTTACATTATCTTATTTGATCCTCACAAATGACACAGATGTTGAAAACAAAACTTTCTTAAGTTTATTTACATTTTTTTAAATTAGTTACTCAAACCTTATTTCCGTGTGATTAATGGATGCCTAATTGAGAACTTCCAGGCTTTCCAGAGTGGTGAAGAGGACTGTTTCGGTGACAGGAGAATCTGAATTCCAGAAATCCTGGCAGTTACCTAGTTGTAAGCAATGTGTGGCCTAATACTTTTAGATTGCAAGCAAATGGCCCTACTACATCAACAACAAATCATGAAATCATGAAGGCTCAGAGTATTTGAAAGACTTTAATGCTAATGCTATGAAATATATTTTAGGACCATTAGTAATAATAGTTATCTAGCACATTTAATGACATGAATAATTGTTCAGACAATAGGATAATTATATGTAAAGAAAAGAAGCAGTTAGCATTACTAACTGCATTAGTATTGTTAGAGTATGCGTGGCCAGACCAAGCTTTCTTTCATGGTTTTGTTACATTTTCCATACCTATTAATAGTGTCATTCATAATCAGTTGTTCCAAAAACCACATAGTTTAATCCTTATGTCTTTATCTCTGTAGGTATGTTTATCTATGTGTGTCTCATTGAAAGGGAAAGTTGGGAGTATACTGTGTCTTCTGAGTAAATTTACTTGCAGGGACTAAGGAAAGATCTCCTGCCAACATTTACTTTACTTAAGAAATCTCAGTTCAGCAGTTCATGGGACACCTGCCATGTGGCAGACATTCAAGGGTACTGGAAATAAAGTACTAAGACAGTCACTGACATGATGGACTCTAACAAAATAATTAGACTTAGAGCTTATTGTTCTAAAGGAAATAACCAAATGATATCAAGGAGAATAAGGGGGCCAGCTTTGGAGGCTACTCAGAGAAGACCTCTTTGACAGAGGTGATATTGATCTTAACCCTGAAGGACAAAGTGTGGAGGTAGCCATTCAGAGCCTGTGGAAAGTTAAGTGCAAAAACCTGAAGGCAGAGAGAGTTCTTGGAGTTGGAAGGAAACCACTGAGACTAGTAAGTTGGAAAGGTATGCATTTTTATTTTAAGCGAGGTCATATTTTCAGATTCTTTGAGGGAAATGACCTTAGAAATCCTCTAGACCAACAACCTATAGTATACTAATCCTTGTTACATCTCATTATTGATATTTGAATAACTCTATAATGGGGAATTGGGGAAGCAATCCAATTTTATTTTCAACCACTCAAATTGTTACAAACTTCTTCCTTGTGTTAAGCTGAAAATACTCTCTCACACATTGATCCAAGTTTTTCCTTTCAGGTCAACACAGAGTAATGAAATACTGAAAGCCCTTTGTCGTGGGGTAGTCCTTCAACTATTAAAGACACTAATCCGGTCTCCACTCAGACTTCTTTTTTGTAAACCAGTCAGCTTCAGCTCTTTCAGTTTCTGTATGCCAGTTGCCAGAACTTTCTAGTTACTGTATTTAATCCTTTCAGATTCAGCCTTTTGTAAATGTGTCTGAAGACGTTTTGGGGATCCCATTTCAACAATAATGTAGTAGCCACTCCTGTAGCGGTAGCTTTGTGTCATCCTCAGGAATACCGCACCATATCCACGCCATTCATAGAAACCTTGACCTTGCAGGGCTGTTGAGAGAGTCCTTTGGCAGGTTACTGCATTAAGTAATCAGTCCCTCTTGTTATAAACAATCAATTACCTGTTACAGATTCCTCTAACTTGCTACCTAGCTTGGCTTAATACACCTTTCTCAAACCCCACTTCCACCATCCTGTCTAAATAGGAACTTTACTTTTGGACCTAGTCTTTTCTGACTGCACCCTGTTTCTTTCCTGTGTTGTCCTCATAGATTTAAAACGAATGTTTGTTTCTCTCAGTGGGATCTATATTCTTAGACTGAAGGACTAGCATAGGACTTGTACTTAGCAGGCACTTAAATATTTATTGAATTAAAAAGTGATTTGTACTGTTATCCAGCCTGTTTTTTCATCTAGTCCAAAAAAATTCCGTTATATTTTCCAGTGATTTGCGGAAATACATACTTGGTCAAATTTTCTTGGTTTAGAAGGCTTAGAATGACTTGTACTTAGTAAATCATGTCAGCTTCTAATTCTCTTGTGAATTAACCTCCTAAATTCCTTGCAAGCTGCTATAGGAGATATCAAAATTAAGAAGACAGCTCCTGTCTTCAAGACATTTGTATTTCAGTGGGGGCAATTAAAGCAAGTATACACATCACTAGAATATACAGCAGTTGAAAGGCAGGGAAGATCTCATCTGGTTGGAAAGAATGTTGGTTTCTTGGAGAAGATGTTATCTGGGCCTAAGGAATAGATTTCAGCGGAGGGGCAGGCATTCAGGACATTTAAGCTTTCGAACAAAGGGAGCAAATCTTTGTGACATTATGACTGAAATTCCTTTATTAGGAAATTAGATTTTTATTCCCCAGTGACTTAAAGGGGAAATTTCCTTGAATACAGTTATGCAGCAGAAACATAGTAACCTTCAGTTTCTCAGTAACAGATCCTTCACTGCTTCCAGCAGAAAAGGCTTAGAGTGCCTATAGTGATCTTTCCAGACTTCCTAGAAAGATAAATAGCATAGAAAGATAAAGGAGTGAAATTTTGCCTTGGTTTATCTCTAACAAGACTTGATTAAATCTCATCTGGAGGAGAAATTTAAGAGGAGGATATTCACATTAAAAAATGGCTTACAAAGGAATTATATCAACAAGTATTAGAGTATATATTTTTGATCAAATTCAGATTCCTGCTAGAGATATGTTGAATAAATATCTTTACATCTATTTTGCAGCAGGACTGTAATATATGTTGCCTCATCATATAAAAATAGCATAATTTAATCTGTTTTGCAACATTAGCAAATGTTTGTTGCACAGGTGAACAGAGATAAGCAGCCCATGGAGAGGATCTGACCATGCTACCTGCTATTGAAACAAATTCAAACAAATATTAAAGTATTTTTTTAACATTGAATAAAAGTAAGGAAAGTTATCATTTAGAATAGTACATCAGTCTGTTTAAAGATAACCTATCTGTCCTGCCTTTAGTACTCAAGCATTCATTTTTTATCTGAATTCTTATTAAACATTTATGCATATATATTTTCTTATAATCTGGTTTTAATCTCAGGATATAACAGTATATCTACATGAACTTTGTGTATGACAGGGTAATTTATTATTTCCAGCTCCTGTTCGACACAGTGGAGACCATGGGAAAAGACTGTTTATCATCAAACCTTCTGGATTCTATGATAGGCGTTTTTTAAATTTAATGGTGAGTTAAAAATTTTGTTGAACTAAACTCCTTACTTAAAATAGGATTTATTGTGTCCTATTTAGGAAACATCTTTCTTTTTATAAAAAATTTTATTTTGTAAATTTGTATTTCCTTTCTCAAAATTTAGCAAGATTGTGTAGTAGAGTCTGATTTGTTACTGGATAATTTTTAAAATTAGTGAACCTTTCCTCCTTCAAAAAAGAGATTCATGTGTATTAGAGGTAAAAGTTGAGCCATTCCTTTCTTCTTAAGTTATGGGGTTTCGAAATAGAATATTGCTCCCTGCCAAAAACAAAAATAAAAACAAAGATACTGTAAATTATAAAACTTTGAAAACAGATTTGTTTGGGGATAATTATTTGTATTATTAACATATTCTTTTAAGTTGCCGAAGAACTCATTGAAAGACTTCTTTAAGTCTATTATTTCGGGATATGATTATTTATTTCTATGTTGTTCCGGAACCTTGATTTCAGAGTGAAGCAGGGTATTGACCATATGTTTATATCTCAAGGCTCTAGAAGGAAAAAGTAGAGGCTTAGAGAGGGAAGATTGTCTGGACTCTCTCACTGTACTTAAAGCTGTGACCTGCCATCTGAGTACTGGCTGCCCTCTTGACCTTCTCTTGCTCACCACCTGTGCTTAATGCCCTTCTTTATACCCCTTGTTGACCCCCCACTTTTCATGTCATGACCAAGTCCAACTCTACAGTAGTTGAAATCACCCTAATGTTCTTATACTTTTCTTCTTATCCAGAAATTTCTTTTATTATATTGCTTTAACCAAAAAATTTAAAACCACTTCAATAGGTATTTTATTATACTTATACAGTTAATTCTTTTTTCTTTCATTTTTGGAATTAAATATGGACATCTAAAAGGTAGAACAAAACAAAATCACAGAAATAAATAACTTGATACTACATCTCCAATTTGGCAAGTTTGTTTCACAAGAAGTATAAGGAAATCACGTAATGAGAACAATTTGAGAGTGGGAAAGAGTTAGGAAATGATTATGTGTAAACTTTTTTTTTAAATCATAACAGAAATTCTACCTTCTGTTGACTGGGATTCCAGTAGCAGTTGGCATAACTCTGGTGAATGTATTCATCGGTAAGTACCTCCCACATGACCAAATTGGTAAATTTGTAAAACCTATGTATATTAATTTAAAAAAAGAAAATATGGATATTATGAGGGAAGGTTATCTAAATAATAATCATAAGTCTGGGAATGTATTTTAAAATAACCAGATCTTAGTCTGCAATAGTGTTCAGTGTTACTTTTTTAAACATTTTTATCCCCTCCAAGAATCCTTCAACATCACTGAACCTGTAGAATTGACATAAAAGGCTTCAGAAAGCTTTCTCTTCTCCTCCTTATTTCTCAAAACCAGTTTTGACAAGTCTAAATAAGGAAACAGAAAGAAATAGAAGTGGAAGAGAGATTGAGTTAATGGAACAATTTTTTAATCTACTCTGGAACATATAAAATAATCTGAAAAAGAATGAAATTGTGAATAACAGTAAACATTAGATTTTCATGGGAAATTCTGCTCAAAGTACCTTAACATCTTTGACCCTGAAATGTTTTGTTCACCAGGGATACAGATAACCAGAAGGAATAATGTCTTTTATTATAGCTTGTTACAATATATACAAACAAAATGGTAAATTCTCATATAATTCTTATAGATAATGCTTACATGTATAAGACAGATGAAAAATATCTCATGAATGAATTGATTTCCAATCATCCTGAAGTGAATTTAAAATCTTAGATGTCTTCATTGGTACAAACAAAAGGCCCTTTAAAACCGTAAGAAGTTGGTTTCTTAAATAAAATAGTGAAGATCTAGTATTACGAACTCCAGATACTAAAATTGAACATTATTGTTTTATCTTTTCAGGTGAAGCTGAGTTAGCAGAAATTCCAGAAGGCTATGTCCCTGAACACTGGGAATATTTCAAGGTTGGTAGAAGTCATTGAAAGTTACTTTCTATGAGGCATCTTATCAATGCACTGGTTAATGTCTTAGTTTAGCAATTACTATGTAGTTTTATATTCAATTTTTTATATCAAGTAAATGATGTATTTTGTGCTCACCTTTTACAAGCAACTTCTTTTGGTAATTTTCTGCATTGTTTTAGTACTTTAAACTTTATGGTTTCGAAAGAATGACAGCTAATACTGTCTATGATAAGTATTTTCCAAATATTATCTCATTCTGTGTAAAACATACTATTATTTCCACTTTAGAGATGAGGAAACCAAGGCTTAAGTGTGGTTAAGTGACGTGACCCCAGAGCAGGCCTGCATTAGTAATTAGTCATTTAATCACACTGTCAGTTTTACTGAAGACCAAAGTTAATTCTGTTACTTGTCTTTGTAAGTGTTGTGTTGAAATGGCCTTGATTAGAATATATACTATCTTATTCTATTGTTTGAATGAATTATATATTAGAAAAGAAATATTTCATTATTAAATCCTAACATTAGCCATACAGTTACTTTGCTCTTCTTAACTGGTAGAAAGAGCTCCATTTTTTGGTCACCAAACCCTGGGTTTGGCTCCTAAATCTGCCACTTAGGATACTCAGTGTGTCTAGTGTGTAATGTGTAATGGCAAATAACACTGGTTTTAGAGTTACACATACCAGGTTTAAGCCCAGATGCTCCCACTTGGTAACTATATAACTTACTGTGATTTGCTCATCATAAAATGGGGACAAAAATAGTATTTACCTGATGGATTAAAACTATTTAAAATCTATGTAAAGAGTTGGCCCATAATAAA